GTCTGGATGCTCCTGGGTCCACCCCTGCCCCGTGCACGTGGGGTTGTGATGCCCTCCCCGGCAGGGACACCTTGGTCATCGCCATCGGCAACTGCTGCACCAGCTTCTTCGCCGGCTTCGCCATCTTCTCGGTGCTGGGGCACATGGCCTTGAAGAAAGGCGTCCCCGTGGGCAGCGTCGCCGACTCAGGTATGGGTTTGGGGAGGGGAGGACACGGGTGTGCCACGCCAAGGGACATCCCAGTGCAGCCGAGCTCACCCAGCCTGGTCACCTGCTTGCTGGGCTTGGCCCTGCCACCACGGTTGTCCTTCACGCTTCCCCTCGTTCCCTTCACCCAGGCCCTGGGCTGGCGTTTGTGGCTTACCCCGAGGCGCTCTCCCTGCTGCCCGGCTCCCCGTTCTGGTCCATCCTCTTCTTCCTGATGCTCTTCACGCTTGGAGTGGACACTATGGTGATTGTCACCCCGGGCAGCCCCACATCCTGCCCCGTGCCTGGCCTTGGGGTGCCGGGTACACCCCGTCCTGGGCACAGACACGGCACGATGCGCAGAGACCGGGAGCACGAGGCCAGGGCCAGGCTCGGGGTTATGGAGGCTCCTTGTGTGGGGCTGTTCCTGGGGCAGCCACGTCCCATGGGGGGAGGCTGATGGTGACATTCCCCCACCATTTCCCATCCCCCAGTTTGGGAACATCGAGAGCATCACCACAGCCATCGGACGAGTTCCCAGCCCTGCGTGAGTGGAGGAGGAAGGCGCTGTTCCTGGGCGCGCTCTGCATCTCCTTCTACCTGCTGGGGCTCCTCCTCATCACCCAGGTTCGTTGGGCCCCGGCACCCCCATCCTGCAGCACCCACCCCCTCGGGTGACACCGGGGTGGGGTCGGGGATCGGCCTCCTCTCCCCTTGGGCCTCCGCACGTGTCCAGGGCAGGAGGACAGAGGCCAGCGAGTGCCCTGGCACGGGCGGTGGCCCTGGCCGCAGGTGCTGACCCCGTCCCTCCCCACCTCACAGGGAGGCATCTTCTGGTTCACCCTCATTGACACGTACAGCACCGGCTTTGGGCTGGTCATCATCACCCTCTTCATGTGCCTCGGCATCTCCTTCTGCTACGGTGAGTGGGGCTGGGGGCTCGCTGGAGCTGGCTGGGTGCGCGCTGGGTGCACCCTGTGCCGCAGGGTGGTCACGGCTGCGTCTCCTCCCTGTGCCTGCAGGCATCGACCAGTTCTGCCAGGACATCAGGGACATGATCTGCCACTGCCCCCCTGGTGCAGCCACATGCTGGGGTACTTCAAGTTGTGCTGGGTCTTCTTCACGCCCTGTCTGCTGCTGGTAAGCATCGGGCGCTCACCCGGAGCTGAGGGTTGAGGGGGGGCGAGCTCCTCTCCAGCCCCCCGAGCGGGGTTACCCCAGTCCCAGTGTCCTGGGCCCTTGGTGGCTGCTGGAGGTGGGTTGGGGTGGCCCTGACCCGGCTCCCTGTGGTGCTGCGCCGTCCCCTCACTCCTGCCCACGCTGCCCTTGCAGTTCACGCTCATCTACACCTTCCTGGAGATGTACGGCGTGCCCCTGCGCTACGGCTCCTACACGTACCCGGCCTGGGGCACGAGCCTGGGCATCTGCGTGGGCGTCCTCACCTGCCTGCAGGTCCCGCTCTGGGCCATCGTGGCCCTGTGCCGCGAGTCGGGGACGCTGAGTGACGTGAGTGTGCGGGAGGAGCAGGGGCACGGGGACGGGGATGGGGTCACAGAGGGGCTGTCCTGGTGCTGGGGGTGGGAAGGGAGCAGCAGCTGGAGGCGATGCTCTCCCGTCCCCAAGAGAGAAAAAGGGATGAAGTCCACCTGGATGAAAGGTGGGGTCTGAGCCCCTCGGTGGCCGTGTCTGCGGCTGTCCCCTTCCCGCAGTGACACTGCCCTGGGGGGGCTCAGGGCAGCCCCTGCTCACCCTTGCCCACCTGCAGCGCATCCGGAAAGCCACCCAGCCCCTGAACTCCTGGAGGGCGGCCAGCGGCCGGGACATGTCCGCAGAAGTCATCAACGTGCCGTTCACCATCACCCTGACCAGCAGCGACTTCACCGCGCAGCCCGACAGCAGCACCTAAGCTGATGCCGGTCCCGGTGCTGGGGACGCCCGGCCGGGGGGTGGCTGCTGCTGCACGAGGCTCCCCTTGTGCCATCGCACGGTCCCAGAGGACATTAACCACTGATCCCAGCACGTTTTAATTCTCTTTCCTGGAAATGCTCTACATGCTCCAAAAAGTGTTTCTAAGGGACTCTCTGTGAGCAGCTCCGGCTGCCAGGCTGTGCTGCAGCCCTACCCACCTCTGGGTGGTTGTCGTGTCCATCAGAGGTTTGGGGGCAGCTGTGCACGTCCCTGCCCCTTACCCAGCGCTGTCCCGGGGTGGGGGGCGGGCTGGTGGCAGTGCCCCTGCCAGTGGCAGCTGGGCAGTGGCCCAAGCACAGGGGGCTGGCACAGCCAGGGGCAGCTCCCTGGGCACCATCCCGAGCCGGGGGCAAAGCAAGCCCCTGGGGTGGTTTCGGAGCCTCAGGGGGCTGCGAGCACACAGATGTGTTTGCTTCTGCTGCAATGAACTGTTCTGCAGCCCACCACTGATGGGCTGTGGGGACGAGCCCACGCACGCTGCTGCCTGCAGAGCTGCAGGGACCCCAATCCCGCAGGGCCTCATCCTGCTGCTGCCACCCCTGGGGGCGCAGTGCTGGGCTGCCGGGGGGTGCGGGGTGCGGGCGTCCCCCTGGCTTTGGCTGCGCACGCAGAGGGTGTGAGAGGGGTGAGGTGTTGGCGAGGGCTGAGCAATGGCCAGGACGTGCCCGTCCCTTCGCTGCCTCGGAGGTTGCCCAGGGCCAGGCCAGCAGCTGGGCAAGCCGAGGGCCCCAGGGAGATTTTTTTAACCCCGGTCCTGGTGTCCGTCTGTCCGTCCTGCGAGCCTCTCCAGCCTCACACCAGGGCAGCCGCCCTCTCCCTGCTCCTGCTGGGCTCTGCGGCTGTGCCGGCAGGACGAGGCCGTCCCTGCAGCAGCGTTACTGGGGCAGCACCAGTGGCTCCCACCATGGCCTGGGGGGAGAGGGCTCCGAGGGCACAGCACCGGGACCGCAGGGCCCAGGCACCGAGGGGCAGCTCGGGGGGGCCGGGCTGGGGGCACGGCCCCGGGGAGGTCGCTGTCTGCGGGCAGCCCCTGCCCCAACCCTCCCCGCTGGGACCCCCACGTCTGCGGGCGGGTGAAGAACGCAGCAGGCGCCTGCTGGTAAAATATACTACATGCTTTATTGGATTTAAAAGTTTTATGAAATGACAAAAAAAAAAAAAAAAAAAAATCAAGAGTTGGCAGACGCGTCAACAGTTGCCGCTCAGTGGATCTCCAACCCCTTCTCCAGAAAGCATCCGCAGGTCTCCGCCACCGCGAGCAGCGCCGCCGGCCCCGGCTCCAGCCCGCAGCCCCCGCTGGCCGCGTGCCCCGGGGGGGCTCCGTGAGGCCTCCCCGGCCCTCCCGGGGGTCCGGCTCCGCTCCCCGGCCGGCTCCGGCCGAGGCGGTGACAACGCCGACGGCGGGGGCAGAGCAGCCCCCGTCCACCGCCCCCGCTGCCGGGACCCCGTCCCCGCAGCCGGGAGCAGCCGCGGGGAAGTGCAGGCACTTAGTCATTTAGAGGAATTTTTCACTTATCTCAAAGCAACAGTGTAATTGTCTAACTACCACCTAGGAAACGAAAACACCTCGATAGCCCTTCCTGTATTGTCAACATACACAAATATATTACTCTGGCATAAAGCAAGGCCCCGAGGGGCTGTTGGCATCCCGCCTGCCTCCCTCCCTGCCCCTCCTGGACCCGCGCCTTCCCCTGGCAGCGGCCGAGTCCCGGGTGGCCTCGGGGTAGCAGCTGCCTCCCAGGACGGTGCCGGCGGCCAGGGCCAGCGGCTCGGCGTGGACGGGGCGGTGGGAGCGGGACCTGGCTTGGCGGAGCTCCGGCCGCGTCCGCTGGGGGAGGGCAGCGGGCAGGGGCTGGGGCTGGGGCTGGAGGGAGCAGATTTGGCCCCGGGACGGAGCAGGGCTCAGCCAAGGGCAGGGGCAGGGGCTTCCCCTTAGCAGCTGTGCTGGGGAAGGTGCCTGGGGCAGGAGGAGCCCCGCAGCCTCGCAGGGAGGACAGGGGAGCAGCCAAACCCTGGGGCAGGGGCTCGGCCCCAGCCGACACCCGCACCCCAGCCTGCCCCAGCCCAAGGGCAGAGCCCTGGGCATGCACCCAGCCCCATGGGCACGCACCCAGCCCCACACCCCCAGCCTGGAGGCTGCCCCCCAGCTTGGTCGTGCCCCGCACCCCCCTCTGGGCTTGCCCTGGGGACGGGTGCCGTGGCCCCGTGTTTGCAGGCGCCTTGCAGAGCGGTGGCAGCCGGGGCTGGCCCTGTCCCCATGCCCCTTGGGGATGCCCCGGGCCCTTCCCTGGTGCTCACGCCCCTGCTGAGTGCCCAGCTGAGCTCTGGCCCTGGCCCTGCTCCCCCGGGCAGGGAAGCAAAGACAGGGGCAGGCGGGGGCTCCTCTGCCCCGGATCCAAGCCCCGCACCACGGATGGATGCCGCTGGTGCCACGAACCCGGCGGGGGGGACGCTGCCCAGGGCAGGGGTGTGAGCACCCCGCGGGCGGCAGCTCCCTGGTGCGAGTGGGAGAAGCTTCAGCAGCGCGCTCCGGCCGCAGCTCCCGGCCGCACGAGTACCAGCAGGGGCAGGGCCCTCCCTCCGAGGTATTGGACTCGCTCTCGCTTATCAAGAGCGCACAAAGGGGCTTTCCCCTTCCACCCTGGGGGCCAGGGTGCAAGAAAAGTGACTCGTAAAGGGGAGGAGAACGGCTGCGACGCCGGCCCCACCGCCGACACCTGCGGCACCCCTGCCCGGGCTGTGGCACCCGGCGTGCGGCACGGCAAGGCTCCCGCCACCCCGGCCATCCAAACAGCCTGTGCAAAGGTTGGAAGAGGCAGAAGAAACAAAACAAAACAAAAACACAAAATAATAATAAAAAATAAAAAATAAAACCACATTGAAACCAAACCCAAATGCCGTGTGGCTGAGCGGAGGCAGGAGTAACTGGAAGCCATGCACAGCAAAGCTGGGGGCGACGGAAACGGGGAGGGGGGAAAAAGGGCGGCTGCTGGCTTCGGGGGAGCGGTCGTCTTCTTGGTTTCTCAGAGATCAGGAAATAAATAAGTCGAGGTGGCTCCTCCGGCCGCGGGTGCTGGCACGACTCGAAGGGAGGGCGCCCGTGGGGGCCGGGGGGGTGTCGCGGCGCTGCCCCCGGGCCCAGCGGGTCGCGTCCGTGCGGTTCCTCCTCCTCCTCCCTCCTCTCTCTACTTCTTGGGCTTCTTGAAGATCTTTAGGGGGAACTTCTTCTTGCTCTGGCCGAGGTCAACCTCGTCGCCCGTCAAGCTGCTGTCCTCGTCCCCCGGGCTCTTCTTGGCAGCCAGCTGCGGGATGCGGGTGCTCTTGGCGCTGTTGGGCCGGCAGTCAGAGATGGGGGACGGGGTGTCGGGGTCGGTGGAGCTGGGGCTGTGCGACCGCGACGAATCCGAGTGGCTGTGCTTGCCGGCCGTCGGGTGGCTGATCTCCCCGAGGCTGGAGGACTTCTCCATGCCGTGGTTCACCGTCATCATCTTCTTCATCACCATGGGGCTCTCGGGCGGGCGCTCCGCCGCAGCCCCCGGCGCGGAGGCCTCGGCGTGCCGGCTGCCGCCGTTGGGGGTGGGCGCGCCGAGGGCAGGGTGCGCGGGGCAGCCTCCTCCACGGAGCGGGTCAGCAGGTTGGGGCGCGCCGCCAGCAGCTTGGCGCAGCGCTGGGGATGCGCTGGTGGTCGCTCAGGTGCGGGATGCAGGACCTCGGAGTCGCAGCGAGTTAAGTCTCTGGGGTTGAAAGGCGGAGGAGGACAGCTCGTTAGCGCTGCTCGTTAGCGCTGCTCGCGCCGCGGACCCCCCGCCCGCCTCCCACCCCCTGCCCCTGGCCCACACGCACACAGATGCAGCAGCTGAGGGTGGGGGCTCGGCAGGGGAAGCCCCCAGCAGAGCGCAGCAGCAGCCAGCCCACGCCCCTGGGGATGCAGGAGCGGGGCTGGGGCCTGCCTGTCCTGTCCTGCTCCCGCTGCCCCCTCCCGCTCCTCCCCACCAGCACCGGGCGGCTGCTGGTGGGGGCACCCTGGGGACGGGGACCCCCCCGTGCCACCCCAGGGCCAGGTTTCAGGGCAATTTTTCACCAGGGCTTCTCCAGCCCCTCAGCTTGCATCTGTGTGCGCCCCCCGGCCGGCCCCGACGGCTCAGGCCCGCAGCCCGGCCCCTGCTGCACAGCGGTTTGTGCCCCCAGCCTGCTGCCTGCTCGTGGTCCTCAAAGGCAACGGGCGCCGCTCCGCCACCCCCAGCGCCTCCTTCCCCAAGCGGGGAGCGGAGGCAGGGGGACGGGGAGCCGCAGCCCCCATCGCCCCACAGCGCTGCTGTGCCCCGGCCCCACGGCCCTGTGGTCCCTCTGAGAGCTGCCGGTGTGCCCGTGCAGGGTGGGTGCAGCCGGATGGAGCTGTGCTGCTGCCCCACTGCCTGCCCCACTGCCTGCCCCACAGCTGCCCCACAGCTGCCCCACTGCCTGCCCACAGCTGCCCCACTGCCACCCTCACCCCTTGCAGTGCCACCACCGCCGCCCGTGTGCATGCAGGGGCAGCAAGGGCTGCAAGGGGTTGGTCAGAGCCACCTCTCGTCACCTGCACAGGCTGGGGCAAGGAGCACGGAGCGGAGAAGGGAGTGGAGAGGAGAAGAGCAGAGCGGAGGGCAGGGGAGAGGCAGGGGAGGGATGGGAAGGTACCCGCCAGCTCGGGGCTGAGCCCCGAGATGTGGCTGAGCTGTGCCAAGCTCAGAGCCCGGCCCGGACCCCTGGCTCCTGCCGGGTGATGCTGTCAGGAACAGCACCAGAGCCCAGAGGGAGAAAGGGGAAGGCAGGACGGGACGAGATGCCTCCACTAGAGCCTGTGAAGAAGGAGAGCTCCAGGCAGCACCAGGACTGCACTGCTGGAAAAGGGGCTGCAGAAACAGAGCACAAGGGAGGTCACCTACATGGCTGTGCTACTGCGAGGGAAGGGAGGATTATCCTCACAGCATCCTCCTTCCTCATAGCAGCAAGGGCATTTTGGAACAAACCTACCGAAAGGACTTGGGCTTCTGTTTCCAAGCTCCACAGGAGGAACGGGATATTAGCAAAACCTCACGGATGGCTAGGATACAGCCCCAGATCCGCTCCGAGAGCCCAGCTGCGGAGCCTGCCTCATCTCTGATTTTAACAGGAGGGAAACAGCCGCGGGCATTGCTGGAATAGTCCCTGCCTTTCACACACACACACACGGCCGAGCCCATCTGCCATCCAAGGTTAGCAGCGGGCCGGGGAGCGCAGGAATCGAACCATTTGGATGGTGTGAAATCCCCGGCTATTCTGAGAGAGCTCTGGACGCGCTCCAAGGGAGACAACTGCGATGGGAGCACCGATGGAGACACGAGCCCATGGATGCTGCGGCCGCCCAGAAGGTCACTTTGAGGCAGGGCGCAGTGGATGCAGCTCCAGGGTTTCACTGGGATAACGGGGCCCACGGGCAGCCCTGCGAGCAGCAGTGAGGTGCCCTACAAATCAGTGGGGCTGCACATGGGCCCCTTGTGCCCCTTCCTCGCCAGCCCCCGTCTCGGAGCAGGCGTGGGGCGAGCTCAGCGCACGGCAGCAGTGCCCCGTGCTGCACACCACGGGCAGCGTGTCGGGGTAACAGAAGCGTGTTGAGATTGTGACCTGCTCAGCTGAAATTCAGAGTTGTGCCTACACCCAAGGATGGTTTTTTTCCTGTAAAACCAACCCAGAGCTCCCACCGGCTGCCACAAGCACAGAGGTGCCTGGAGCGAGTCAGCGAAGAAGACGTTGTTCTGAACAGAAGTGAGATAACAGCAAATACAGAAGTCAGATAGCTCAGATGATTCACAAACGCCTCATTTATGAGGAGGGCAGGCTTTGTCCTCGCTGGGATCTGCAGACGGACATTAATTCACCCAGAGTGCCTTCACCTGCCCTGCACAAGGTCCTGACAAGGGACAAAAGCGACCGCGCGGTCACGGCCGCGGAGAAAATGACGCCAGCAGATGGAGAAACATCCTCTGGTGGAGCAGGATTTTCTTCCTCTGCCTGCACACGCTGGAAACCCGATCCCGGGCAGCTGGTCCCTGCCTCGCAGCGGGGTCCGGCTGCCCCTGGCTGGTGCCGAGGACCGGCCGGGAGCTGCTCCCTGGGGATGCCACGGCCACCGCGTCCCTTCCCCGGGGCTGCTCTGATAACAGGAGACCCTCGGCACCGAGGGGCTGGCAGCTCCTTTGTGTGGCTCCAGCTCCTCACCCCAGACATCCACGGCTTCCCTGGGATGTCCCAGCCCGGGCTGGAAGCTGGGTTTGCCACCGTGCTCCCGTCCTCCACACGCACTGGGGCTCCGAACAGCCCGGCTCTGGCACAGGTCAATGCTGCTATCACCACGGTGCATCTGGAACATCCCCTCTGCAACAATGCTCACCTTTACGGAAGGATATCTAGAGTCTCCTGGGGCTGTGGAGCTAGAGAGAGAGCTGGGCAGGCCCCCAGGAGAAGGACCTGAGGGGCACAGGATGTGTTCCCTGCAGACATTACGGGCTGTGGGCTGCTGACGAGGAGACCTCGCTGGATTACAATTTCTTCTTCCCTTGCACTCGGGGCTGGCTGCCCACAGGACTGAAGGGACTGATGTCAGGATTCAGGCCAGCATCAGGCATTCTTCAGATCTCCAAACGGTGCTAAGCTGAGCCTTTTTGTTCATAATTTATCCAGTTACAGATCGGGAATGTGTTCCCAAAGGGAGGGTGGATGTGCCACCCGTGGGGACACGACCCAGCTGCGTGCCGACTTGGCTGGAGGCAGCACAGAGCTGGGGACGCTCCGGAGCCCAGAGCAGGGACAAGAAAGGGAAAGATCACTGCCATCGGCCAGAAAGGGCCGGCACGGATCCCGCTGACTTCCAGGAGGCTCCTGCTCCCCACTCGGTTCTCTTCCTACCTTGCCGCTCCAGGAACCCAAACTGCCCAGGGTGAATGAGAGAGCGAGGAGATAATGGGATGCGCTGCGCTTTGCAAACAAAAGAAGCAAAAGATGGCAGAGAGAAGGGCTGGTAATGATGGAGGAAGAGGGGAGAGGACAGGACAATGTAGAATAACTACGGATTTTTCCTTGACCGCTGCCCATCGAATGATTTCCTGCAGTGGGCTCCTGCTGCCTGCTACACCCAGGGCACAGGCTCCAAGAAACCGAGCGGAGGTTCAAGGGCGTTGGACGTGTCCGGGCTGCAGCAGGGCTCGGTGCTGGGGCCTCCCAGACCCTGCTGCCTCTGCGGCTCCCTGCGTCCCCCCTGGGGGTCCTGCAGCTCCCAGCTCCATCCACCCGCCCGGCACGCGGCACTGGGCACCGAATTTGCTGCATAGCTCGATCGTTGTGCTGTGCACAGCACTGCACAGCCAGAGGCTCGGGAATGGCCTCTAAGACACAATTCCACCCGTAATTTCTGCCCTTCTGTTCTAGGAGAGCTGCCGGCTCCCCTCCCCGCTGGAAAAGGGTCGCCAGGGCAGGGGGTTTGGTCCTACAGCCCCATCTCCACCCCGTTTATCCACTGGCACCACCTAAAGCAGGCACTGGCGAGCAGAAACCTCTGTGCACGCAGCACCCTCCAACCCCTCCCCCCCAGGGACATCCAGCCCCCTTCAGCGACATTTATAAACACACATCAGCCTTCAAAACCAGAACAGCTCTGACCTTATTTGCACCGGATCCTCTGAAGCCAATTGCAAAAGAGAAGCAGACAGTGAGGAGTTGGTGAGGGTAACGGGGAGGCCACGCACTGGCCGTGCCTGCAGAGGTCCCTACCGGGTTAGCTCCGGGCAGGTTTAGCACCGCCAGGCACAGCTCGCAGGACACGGGGAGGACCCTCGAGCCTTCCTCTGGGGGAACGGGCTGTTTGAGACAAGTTTCTCGTGAGGTCTCGCCAACATTTGCGCCTGCTGGCCACGAGAGCGGCTGAACTGATCTGATCCAGCAGTCCGAAACGCTCAGGGCAGCGCTCTTCCTGCCCAGGATTTTTGTGGGTTCTGTTTTCGTCCTTGGCAGGGACTCCCTGGAAGGCTTTTCTCAGCCTCAGCTTCCCATCTGTTCTGCTCGCCAGTTTGGGAGGCTGCGGAGCTGGAGGGATGTTTATAAAGGCCTCCGACTGGTTGTATAAAAGAGAAATTAAGAGCAATGTGTTGGCTCGCGCTGCGCCTTGCCTGCACGGCAGTATTTTTATGGGGATGCACGAAGCAGGATCTGCTAACGATGCAGTTTGGCAAAAATTTAAAAGCAACAACATTAAGAACCCATTTTCGTACCCAATTCTTCAGGTTTGTTTTCCATGATGAATAGAGAATGAGGATGGATTTGGGGGTCTGCTATTGTGTAGCTCGATCAAACCTTACCCCAAATCCCTACTCTGCAGAACTACCCACTGCTAAAATCCTGCCGCAGCAGCTGCCCCCTCCTCTGGGAGCACAAAGCAGCCCTGCCTCGGTGAGCAGTCAATAATTAGTCCTGATAAGCTCCTAAGTGCCGGTGGGGAATGAGGAGATGCCGGTTATCCTCTCCTAATGACCTCTCAGCATCATTGCCTTCCTAATGGGGATCCCAAAGCCACGCCGTTTCCCTCTGCCCCTCTCAGGGGAGCCTGCAGCACCAAGGCTTTCAGCCGGTCAGCAATTAAGCATCTCTCTGATCAGGACTCAGCTGAAAAAAAAAATGTTTATAGAGCTATTTTTGAAGCAGCATTTTTGAATCAGCCTTCGAGCTCCCAGGACAAGCCCCTTGCACAGGAAGGGCAGCGGTAAACACGGGCTGCCGGACATGGGAAGCGTTCCCAGCTTTTATCTGTCAAGCTGGGACAGCCTCAGCTGAATTCACATTGTGAATTCCTGGGGCTCAGAGACTGCTCTGCTCATCAGGCACCCTCGGGCAGCCCTGCTTCGAGACACAGAAGTTAGCGAGGGGTCAGGGATCCAAAACGGAGGCTGTGCAAAGGACATCGAGCCGGAGATGTCAGGAGAGAGCCTACAGCTACGGGGAGAAGTTCCTACAAGTAAACGGAGCATGTACGAGACGCCAGGACAGATGAGGATGTGGTGACTGGGGATGGTTTTCTGTCTGGATACAGAAACGTGCGAAGGCGCTGCCCTGCCCGGCTTCTGCCATGGAAGATCTCTGGCCGTCTCCCATGTTCTGAGGGCAAGGACTATTTTTAATTGTACAAAGGAGAAAGCAAAGAGCAGGGAGGTGACGTGACGTGGCCACAGTCCCAGGGCAGCTCTGGCAGGGAGCAGTGGGATTCCCCGGGGACAGGCACAGCCCCTCTCCCTGCCTGCTTCAGCACTGGCACCTCCAACGCCCCCGAGCTGCGAGCACTCACCCCAAACACTGCTCCAACCTCAGCTGGGTTTTGAACCAAGCACCCCAGGGATGCGGGCTCACACAGCGCTCCGGAGTTGGGTAAAAAAAAAACCCGACTGCTGCCACGGACCAGCAGTGAGAAGCTTCACCTCCTGTTCTCATACCCAGCTGTTCCAAAATGCCTCGTCCCTTCCCAAAACAGAGGAGGGGAAGAGTCGCTCTGAAACACAAAATTCCTAAATGCTGTTTTTTTGCCTCTTCTTAAAACAACAGCACAAACTGTAACCCTCCAGCAGCTCTGCCTACTTGCTCACAGCACCTACCCGTACGTTTCCTTTGCAATTTGCTTGTGAAGACCCCAAACAAGTCAAGGCTTCAAATAAGGTCAGCGTTTGTTTGATTACTTGTGTTACCTTTGCTCTCCCAGGTGCATCACCCAAGGACTGACTTATTAAGAGGTAGCTGGGTGCCCAGGAATTCTCATTTGTTGAGCTACAGCTGAACCACGGCACCTCCGTGCTTTATGCACCCACTGTGCTCATGGGTATGGGAACGGCCACAGAGCACTCGTCACAGAGTCCACTTGCATGGGGGAGAGGTTGAAGAATCAAAAATGTGGATAAATAATGAAACGGAGGCCCAAAAGGAAAGGGCTCAAGGAATCTAGGAGAAAGGGCACCCCAGCAAGCATCAGCTCTGAGACACAGCAGGCAAGGAGGAGCTAGAAAAGAAACAGCAAAATATACCCAAAGCTCTCAGCGCGACAGCGAACTCCAGAGGTGACATCAGGAGGGGGTAGATCAGGGGTGGAGTCCATCTGAAGGAAATAAGAGGTGGTGGTGTGATGGTAATAGATAGGGTGGACATGGGAAGCAGGAGCAGGAGCAGTAGTGGTGGATGAGGAGCAAGAGGTGGCGGTGGTAGCAGATGATGGGCTGGTGCCAGGAAGGTCGGAACTGAAAGACTGTCCAGAGGAGAGGCTGTGCATTCGACGGAGAGAGACTCTGCCTGCCAGGTAATGGGCAGGCTGCCCCGACTCATTCTGGCCTTGCACGTAACTCTCTACCAACCTCTGAGATCCGTGGGCGTGCTGTGGGTCCACCAGGCGCTGGCGAACTGTGCTGGGCAAGGCAGGAGCTGCAACGAGAGAAAAGGGGAGAATGCTGAAGGCAGCTGAACACCCTGCAAAGCTGCCACCCACGGCCAGTGCTACGCGGCACAGCACCGTGCCTCCTGTCCCCAGGACGCTCGCTTGGGCCACTGCAGCCACCCCACCTTGTGCTCTGGGTTATGCTGGTTTAATGCGGGAGAAGCATCAAGCTGCTGCTGCTGCTGCTGAGCATGCCAGATTAATGAGCAGCCCATGAGAAACGACGCTTGGCATTCCTGGTATAGGTGCTTTCTGAACACCTTATCTGATCATCTTGCTCGAAGCTGCATGATTCATCCCACCCAGCTCCCAGCAGAGCTGCCACCCAGCTCCTTCGCTGTGAGCGTGAATTCGGCAGGGCATGATTCATCTCCTCCTAACACAGGCATCCAAACCGCTCACAGGCACTGGCCCTGGCTGTACCGCTTCTCCTCAGCCTAAAAAAGGAGCCTGTGCTGCTGTGGTCAGATGCAGGCACCTGAAGTCGGCGAGGCCAAGCCCCGCGCAGGAGCTCTGCGCCGCTCTAGCTCCTGGAGTGCCACCCAGAAAGCTGACGTGCCCCAGTGCCACCAAGAGCTGCGAGGTGCTTTGTATTCAGGGGCAGGAAAGCCTCTGGGAAGATGCAGAAACCTCTTCGACTTGCACCCTGCCTGCAGGGCAGAACAGCTGGGACGTGTGGCAGATGCACAGAACTATTTCTGAGCTGGGCAGACGCAAGCTCTCATCACAGCAGACACCTGGAATTAGAGGTCTGGATCCACAGCGCTGCCCCTTGTTCCCAAGCTGCTTCACAAGTTGGCTCACTGATCAAAGAGATGCTCAATTTGAAAAACATCGCTCTCTAAATGCAAATCCATCGTGGTTCAAAGAAACAAATTGGCCTGTCTGCTTCGGAGCACTGTCACCAGTTAATTAATAGCTCTTACGGTCACAGCGATCTTTTGGCCACGTGGCTGTACCCAGCAGTAACACGGGGCAGAGCTCAGCCCGTTACCGCTGCCCTGACCCCATACACGGAGCTCATTAACCCACCGTTAGCTAAGGATTCGGTGGCTTTCTCACCACCTAACCCTCGCTGTCACTTCCATACAAGATGTTCCACCTCTCGTGGGAGATAAGGTGTTCAGGGCTGGACGTACGGCGTAAGGAGTAAATGTGAAGATGGTTAAAAAGGTGAACAGACAGGTAAGCTAAGAAATGAAGTAGAACGAGAGCTCTTTTGGGAATCGAAGAACCAGCAAATTGCTGCTAGAAAAAAACAGCTGGGAAACGGAGCTGCTGCTGCTCAGCTGCAGCCACGGGGACCGGTGGGGTCACTGCTGGGATGCGCTTCATGTGGAAGGAGGGACAAGCAGCAACAGAACGATGGAATCACAAAGCTTGGGAAGGCTCTCCGATCATCTGGTCCAGCCAGCAATAACTCAGGCACCTTCGTTATTTTCCCCTTCCCAAGGTTAATGAGTTTCCCGCAGGGCCTCACTCCTCAGTTTGCCAACTCTCGCTTTTACCACTCGGCCACCTGCAAATCCTTTGCCGGAGCTTCCTACCCACAGCCTCCACTTTCCATCTCAGATTTTTTTTCTCTGAACAACTCCTGAGCTGAAATTAAATGAAAGTGAGTCACAGGGACTCCGAGTGGAAAAAAAACCCGACAACCTCACTCCAGTGGGAACCACCAAAAAACTGATCAGAGGAGGTGAAAGGGAGAGCGTTAATGGGGAGGACTGGAGGCTGTTCAAGCTCTCCTGCCGTGACTCTGCAGCAGCAACGCTGCCAACTGCGGCATCAGGGCCAGGAATAGCACAGCAGATCCCAACCTGCCTGCTGCTGCTGCTGTGTTCACACAAACAGCTCAGAAAAGGAGCTCGGTCTGGGGGGCTAACAGGGAAGCAAGCTCTACAGAATAATGAACCGGGGCAGGAGGGGTTTCCACTCTGGGTTTCTGCCTTTCTCTCCTGGGACTTATTTTGTCCCTATTTTTTTTTCCTGGCGTTACACTCCTTATTTACCACGTTACAGCTTTGCACTCTCCTTTTGCGTGGTTTACCTTGCGGTGAGCTCAGGACCAAGACCTTGCCTCCCCCGCTGCACGGCCTCGTTTCACAGCAATACGATTTTATTCCGGACTGCTCATTTTACAAAGGTCACCCAAATAACCTGCTCTTAATCCTGCCACCACACAAGTCCTAACCAGTACCGATACAGAGCCTCTCCTGCCACAGCACACTCTCTTTTCCTCCACCACGCTGATGCCTGCTGGTCGGTGATTCTCCTGCCGTGAGAGGTCACCCACCCAAAAATGTGGAGGTGGCACCCGGGGCTGAGCACGCCACAGCCACGGCCCCCAGGGATCTGGGCACCGGGGGACAGATCAGCACAGTGTGTGCCACCAGTCACGTTATTTAAAAGCACGTTTGGGGAAAGCTCCAGGAAAGGCACGGCAGCCACCAGCGTGCCCTGCGTCGCAGGGTGGGCACGGGGAGGGCAGGGTCCCCTGGGCTGGGGGGCTGAGAACGGGAGCGGTGCCACCCCCGCCAGCCTGAATCCTTCATCGCTGCCTAGGGGGTAAGGACAAGCAGGAACAACCCTCCCCATTTTGTAACCGGATTTTTTTTTTTAAAAAAAAAAAACAAATCCCCAAAGCGTGTGAGGAGTAGAGCTAACTGCGATTCTTCTTCGTCCCACCAGACTCTTTCCAGGGGTTAGTAAAGATGCTGATGGCTCAGTGAGGAGAGGTACATTCATTAGTTTCCCGTGCTGGAAAGTCGGAAAATTTGTGTATGTATTTTTAGTCTAGAAAAAGGGCAGAGGGTAGAACAAAAAATGTATATATATAATCAAAAAGAACCAAACCGGGGTATTTCCAGAGGGACTGATCCTCCGAGGACAGAGACGAGCGATCACTGAACCTGCGCCCAAAAAGCCAGGCTGCATCTGGGAAAGGCCAGTCGGGGGTGGGAGGGAGAGAGAAAAGTGATTTACAGGGACATCATCACTGGCAGCCAGCAACACCCCCAGCTCACCCGGGGAGGAAGCACTTTTCTCTCCTGATGCTGGTTTTGGACACCGACAAAGCCCTGGGGGAAGGCAGCGGGGACCTGCCGGGTTCCAGCCCTGCAGACCAGCACCATGGCCCCGCTCTGCTTACTGGGCTGACTGGGACAGCAAGCGCTCAGCGAGCACACACCTCGCCCCAGGTGTCTGCTGCAAGGCACAGAGGAGCAGGGGATTAAAATCTGAGCCCAGGGCTCACGCCTTATCTAGCTCCCGTCCCTGGGAGCGTGCTTCAGTTGCTGCTCAGGGATTTCTTCGGAACACCCCGACCTCCCCAACGCCCCGCTCGCACCTTTCCAAGTGCTGAGCAGCCCCTAACTGCAGGTGGTGACTGAAGACAAAGGCTGGTGGGGCACCACTGCTTTAAGCTCATGCACACACAAGCCCAGGCTCCGTGCCCTGTGCCTGCTGAGCCCCAGGGACGTGTCAGCACCGCGTCCCTCCTGCCTGCTGCGTCCTGCAGGTACCCGGGCTCTGGGTTCTCTGTCTCACCCCCTGCTGCCCTCCGACCAGCCCCGAGACCTGTCTGTGCTTCCCCCACCTGCCCAGTTAAACAGGCCTGGCTTTCACAGAATCACAGAATTTCTAGGTTGGAAGAGACCTCAAGATCACCGAGTCCAACCTCTGACCTAACACTAACAGTCCCCACTAAACCATATCCCTAAGCTCTACATCTAAACGTCTTTTAAAGACCTCCAGGGAGCCAGAAAGTCACCTGAATCAGCTAAAAAGGCTGCTACAAAGCAGTCAGCTCTGCTCTCCTCCCAGCTGCAGCTCAGAGAGCTTTGCTCCTGCCAAGAGCTGCTGCCTGCGTCACTGCGCCCGCTGGTGCAGAGCAGTGCTCAGAGCGTCTGCAGCCGCTTCCCATTCTCTTATGCAACAGCTAGAGATAGAAAACTGTGCTTGGAAAATGCATTTCTGAGAGAAGCTAGGCCACCTGTGAATCTGGGTCAGTTGAACATGGGAACCAGAGTCAGGGCTGATTCACAAACCTTTTCCAGAGAGGGACACAGCCTCCACGTAACACAAGAGCTCAGCAACTGAGAGGAACAGGCACACGGTGACTCAGGTTCAGCCCTTCAGATACCGAGCTGCTCAGAGCAGGCTCTCCCTCTCCCAATCCCCATTCCTTTCTGCAGGAGCTGATGCACTTTGCATATGAACAGGCACTGACAAAGAGGGAAGGAATGTGCACCCTGGTGACTACACCCCTATACACAGGAGGTGGGCACCGGGGTTTCAGCTTTTGCTCCCGTATATATTTAACAATTTATTAAAGACGGGCAGTATCACCACAGCAGGCTGCTCCTTCCTGCTCAGAATGGCAAGAGGTGCAAAGCTCACACGAGGAGGAGGTGCTCCCAGTCCTTTTCTATCCTGAACAAGTGCTTTAACCAAGGGAAAATGCACTTCAGTTGCCTCTCACTTCTGTGCGTAGCCCATAGCTTTGTTTTTTTGTAAATGCTTCTGCTCAGTGAGCTGAACAGAACAGCACAGATTTGATTAAATGATGAAAAGTAACATCGACAATTACTAGCTCTGCTGGAACCAACAGGCTGCAAGCAACGAGTGTGATCTGGCACTTTCGGACATTCCCAACCCTTTGCAGCTAATATTTTCTCTTTGATCCTTTAAAAACTACTTAGGCACCTCAATTCCTCCTAATGTGTTTGAACTACCTGTAGCAGCTCCAGCTCTCCACACGATTTACGTACATTGTATGGACATGGGAGACACGATCTCTTCGTCCAGGTCATCCACGTCATCAGTCATGATGAAGTGCGAGGGGTTCGGGCGCGGGGTGCCCATCCAGCTCTGATCGATGTTCAGGGCTGAGGCCAGCGTGTGGATGCCGGGGTTGTTGACGATCTGGAAGCCGCAGAGCAGCTCGATCTGCTGCCAGCGATGCAGGCGCTCCCGCAGCGCCGCTGTCACCTCGCTCAGGGTTGTCTGAAAGCAAGGGTCAAAGAGAAACACTGAAATTTCAACACACTGCCTGAAAGAGGGAGCCTGGGGTTCAGCTTTGTGTCCTAACGCTTGAGATATTTTTCATTCCACATTTGAGAACAGAGCAGTAACCTTTAGAGCAGCAAACAACTGGGATTGCCAGGGAATACCTAAATGCTGCAGCCTCCCAGCTCCTTAGGAAAGGCCACTTTGCTGGGATTTTGCTCTGCGCAGCTACGATTTCAATTTTACACACGTAAAACATAATTGATGAAAAGAAGCGAGCCCACCCATCTAAATAAAGTCAGCAGAACCAAAAGGCACGCCAAGTGAGACCAGGAGCACCTGCACAGCCCGCAGTACGCTCGTGTTTAAATACAAGAGAGGCTAAAGAGGAGACAGAATAAAGGAAGGAGAAAAGCAGTTTAAGATTTTATGATCGACATCGTCTAGAGATGAGCTGTGAGCAACGTGAAACGTTCCAAACAGGGTGTTTCGCTTCTTTTTAATTTTTTCAGCCTGGAACATTAACAGAAAAAAGGTCACAGGAAGAAGATGACCTTCTGTTTCCTCAGGACAAGAACATCCTGGATGGGCTGAGACAGAAATAGTCCTGCAGCTGTTAGCACACGTGTAAATAGTGTGAATTTTCTTTTCACTGAGGGATGTTCAGTAAATGCTTCCTAACGCAGTGGATGAGGGAGCAAGTAAGCAGGCTGCAGGTTTATGCTCCTCCCTGGCCTTTCTGATTTCAGAGGGAATCGAACCAGCTACTCCATGTCTCTTGCTTGGTCTTTCTCACGAGAGAACTATAAGAGATAATATTAATGCCCTGGGGTGGTTGTGTTTTGTTGTTGTGTTTTTTTAACCTTCCCTTTGTCACTGTGCATATTCACAACTAAAGTCTCCCCGCACAGATCTTTGGCTCACAGCATCCAGTGGCATTAACTGGAGACTCACAGAAGACAAACCAAGGGCACGGACGTGACATCTGACACAACAGGAGCAAACCCCCTGCAATGTTAAGATGTTCATAATGAAACACGTTTCAGGCAGCCAGCTTTTCCCAAGCTGTCAGTTCTGACTGCAGGGAACGGCCACAGAGACGAGCGCGTGTTCCAGCAGCTTCCCTGCTGCTCCCCTTTTAGTTGGCACAGACATTTCTTCACTGGGAACAGAGAGATGATGATTCATCACTACAGTTTGCATGCACGTTATAAATTTTGTTTCCATGCCTCTAAAACATTATTTAAAGGTGCAGAACTGTCTGCACCACGCACAGCCCACAGCTAACGCTGCACCTCCACGGGACTGCAGCCTGCTGGGTGCTGCGGGGCTGAGGGGCATGGCCCCAGTCCGTGCCTGCAGATCTGAGGGGCAATTGCTACTCACTGCTTTTAGTGATTAAGTGCACTGCTGCACTTTAAAAGGCAGAGCTAAGGCACTAGATATGATGAAGCCAAGAGCCACAGCCACGTAACTGCATCGTGTCTTTCACCCCGACAATTTATGGGACTGCAGGACCTCACACTGATTTGTTCAGCACTGCTGTGCACTAAGGCTTCTGGCATGTCGTGACACAGCAGATGAATGCAGAAGTGGCTCGCTGCAAGGAAATGGGAGGAAGATGCAGAACAGACTTTGACACAAGTTTCATTTCCCATTTCTTCCAGCACCGCGCGGGGAAGACCTGGGACAAGGACACTGAGATCCTCACCCTTCCTTGGCCACCAGCAGCTGCTTCTCTGCGTTCTGCTTCTTGATGTTGTAGTACTGGACCTCCACTCGTGGGTCAGCTGCAGCCACTTCTGCAGGGCCTCGGGCGCAGCCCAGCTGCAGTGAGACTCCAGCTCCTTCTCGGCGTTCTTCAGCGCCATCCGCACCTGGGGAGAGGCAGACGGGCAGTGATGGAGGGCTGGGACAGCCGCTGCCCGCAGCGTGCCACCGGGGACCCACCGGGCAACTGCTGGGGCGAGCACAGGGCTTTTGGTGCACCAATAAAAAGGAAAAAACAAAAGAAAAGACCCCACGCAACTTAATCTGACTCGTGACAGGAGCTGAAGTCAATAGGAGCGGTGGCATCCCGGTACTGTGAGCAGGTGGCACGGGGGAGTGCGAGGTGGGCGGCCACCCAGCGCCCCGCTTGGATGACCACAGCAGCCCACAGTGCTGTCCTTTCATCTCAAAGGTGTTTTTGTTTTTTTTTTAAGGTTTCTCTCAAAACCCTCCAGCAGCTGCAGTGCTGCTTTGCCTCCCGCAGCAGCGCTGAGCACGTCCTGCTCTGCCCATCTGTTCGGGCAGCTCCTCTGGCATGGACAGTAAATCCTCCAGAGCTGACAGCAAGTTAGTTAAAAGGGAACGAGCCTTTAGGTAAGGATGTTCAGAATGCTTATCTCCAGCCTCTACAAATCTCTGCTGCCTGCTTTCAGATCTGCTAAACCCACAAACTCTCCTCCTCCGAAGCAAAACTGCTGACAACACCGCGCAGGCAACTGCCTCCTTTCACTGCAGCTACCGAGCCAAACAGAGGGAGCTTGTCAAAAGACAACTTTCGCACTGGAGCAAGATGACAAAAATATTTAGACACAAAACATGTGCTACTGGTCAGAAAAAGAAATGCCACGTCTGGAATCGCAGCTCCTGCAGCTCTCCTGGGACTCTCCTTCCCTCGAGCTCGTCTCCTGCACACACTTATCCTGCTGGGGATCAGGCGATTACAAAATTAGAAGGAAGTGGGTGATCAGCAGGTTGAAGACACAAAACTGATACACAAGCACTTAGTGATGAGAATTAACACGTCTCTTTAATTACACGTGGTGTGGAGGGCCTCACTACGCTAAGCCTGCTCACTTGTTCACATCGGGATGGGGACTGCAGCTCCCTGCTGCGCCCCTCGACCACAGCACCTGGAAGCCCAGCCACAAGACAGCGTGCCATCGTGGGGCAAGGGCTGGGGAGCTCTGCAGAAGCCCGGGGAGCTCTGCAGATGGCCAGGGAGCTCTGCAGATAACCCATTTCCTATTTCTGGTCCCTGGGCCTTGACCTAACGAGCACACGGTCAGACCTTCAATGCCTGTTCCCCGTGGCTCTGTTCACACCTGCCTTTAGCGAGCAAGGTGCCAGTGCCTTTTCATTTTCGAACTAAAGATGTGCGTTTTTTATAGGATTGCTCAAACTTGAATCTTTATGAGCATGTTGTTTAGCACAGTCACTTTTCTCCAAATCCAGCACAAGCACAACTTCTGGCAAGCCAAAGCCCACGTTACTCCCAAATGCTTTCATCTCACACTTTCTGCTGGAGCACATTTGCAGAATTCATCCAGAAGTAGCCAGGGGACCACAGAAGAGGTGAGCTACTTACATCAGTTTGGGTAAGATTCAGTCTTGTTGAGCATAACATGGCCTGAGTCATTCAAAAGTTTCAAATCCAGCATCACAGCCCCCAGGACAGCCTGTTTTTTCCCCTTGGATGTCAGCTGCACCAGTGCTTCCCCAGTCCATGCAGAACCCTGATCGTGATCAGTAAGTGCAAACAGACTCTGCGTATTCTCCTGGGGAGATTTCTAAAATCTCAGTATGACCACTAAGAGCAGATTAGAAAGCAACAAACGCCTTCTGAATCTGAGGTCAGGGGCCATGGTTTGGGGAGTATGACCTAGTGAGGAGAGGTGTCAACTGGTACACACACGAGAGCCCAGTCCCTGAAATCTCCAGGTTTTTAATCTCGTATGCTGGGCTCCAGCAGGAATACTGGTTTAGTGGTAAGAATCAACTGGTGCAAAAGAGGGTCTTGTTCTAATATCACTGGGACCCAAGTTTATCTTAAAACCAGATGAGTTTACGGTCAGTGGGAGTGACTGGTTAAGTGTATTTGTGGTCCTGGAGTTCATTGGGTGGTGATTGTGTTACAGCACACACAGTGGGGTCAGGTGGATAAAACCGATACTCACCCTTGCAATGCATCCCTCACGAATGCCTCTGAGAAACAACAGAGTGGTAAGTCATCTCTGGCTTTTTCAGATATCTTAACAAATGTAAGTGGAGGGGGAAAGTGGAATGGATGGTGCTCTGCCTTCTCCCAAGGTCATAGCAGCTTGGGCACAAGGTGCATGCTCTGACCAGGAGCTCGATGAATTTGTGGGGAGGCTGCAGGACAAGTTAGGAGGAATGGGACCAAGAGAGCAAAGCTTCTCGCAGGAGTCGGTGGGTGTCTGAAGGGCTCTTACCAACAAGAGAGGAAGGGGGAAGGAAACTGGCTGACTGCTGGTTATTTGCACACTAAAACTACATTGCCCCATGGTTCCCTGGCTACCTGTTGGCCCAGGACAGATGCTCTTCCCTTGCCAGTGGGAAACTCTGGATTCTTGTTTCATTTTCTTCCCCACCCTCCATGGTGGCAGAACACAGCCAGGCTGGAAGGGCACGCTGGTGGCCCTAGAACAGCCAAGGCACTTGCTTGGCCCGTGCCATTCTGTCAAATTTCAGTTTAAACTGTTCTATGAATTAAGGTCAGTTAAGAACTTTCTCTCGGGTGAAACAGGAAGGAGAAATTGGATTTGTGTTTTGGACTTTCTTTGTAGGTTTGGGCAAAAGATGGCAACTGCAGGCAGGTGCCATCAGCAATGTCCCTGGTTTCCATCACTTCCCTGTGGCTTATAGGAATCAAGGTTTTTAGATGTAGGATTGGGAATCCTTTTTCTGACCTATGACAAGTTATTTTCACAGTATCACACATGTTCCACCTGTGTGTACTTCTGGACCAAACTCATTTCATTGTCTCCAGCAGCACTACACACAATATTCTCTCTAGGCCTGTGTTTCCATCTGCAGCTTGGGAATGCATTTTCCTGTCAGTCTAGATTTAAAACTAATGTTTTTGAGAATTGCAAATGACCTCTAACCTATACAGATTCTAATCTAGCGTTAAATTTCCTTGGAAGAAAATTTGCTTTGTACACCTCTGTGCCACAAGAAAACACAGTAAGAACTCGTTCTGCATTCTTCCTAAAACCCCAAATAAATACAAAAGAGAAAAGAAAGAGTTTCTGGTTTGGAGCTGGGGCTAGCAGTCACCAGAGGGGTGCAGCTAGAGGCCAAGTTCAGTGCCTCTCCTTTTGGAAGGCGCACTGGGATGACGTGACAGCAGCACGTCCCCTGAGACAGCACCTCTGCTGTCCCTGCCACCCAACAGCAAGCAGCGCTGTAATTCCTTACGGGGGATGTGTACTGGGAAGTGGAGGAAGAAATGCATGGATCTTTTCCTCCACAAAGGGGAGTGGAAAAGCAAAAAGTGTCGGAAGCAGAACATCACTGGATTCCTCAGAAGGAAGAAGCAGAGCGAGGAGCTGCCTCCTGCTCTCGTTGGCGTGTCTAAGTGTCCCCATGCCCCCTTGCTAAGTGCCCCACCATGACCCCATACCTGCTCCAGCTCCTGCTCGGCGTATTTCTGCCTGCTCAGCTCATTCTCTGTGCCCTCCCGCAGCTCTCGGAGCCGGTGTGCCTCCTGCTTGGCGATGCTGATCTCATCCTGCAGCTTCTTCTCCAGGTGCACCTTTTCCACCTCCACAGAGCGATGTTCCTCTTGTGCCTTCTGCAGTCTGCAAAGAGAGAGCCCGAGAGCCCAGTGCTGTGCACACCGGGCTGTCCTGCACCACGATGTGCCTGCTGGCCAGCCGCAGCCCCGAGCAGCCCCGATCCTGTTTGCTCTACGCTGATGTGAACAGAGATCGGATCTGAAAACTCAAGGAAAAAGTTCACCATGCCTGAGAAGAAATTAAGTTGTCAACTCTGGATTCTCACCTTTACTTCATTTTTTAAACGCTCACCAATTTCATTTGAAGTTTCAGTGTTTTCACAAAAAAATCTGCCTTTAATTAATTAATTAATTAAAGAAAAAAAAAGCAGGAGGGGAAGGTAGGCCTGAGCAGGTATGAATGCACAGATGGGACATCTCCATATTCCACTTGCAAAAGTGTTCAAATTTAGACAAGTCTTTATCTTGCCTGGAAGTGATTATTTTTCCTCCTGACAGGATGAAATCGTCAGGGATTACGTGTGGCAACAGCAAGTGATAACAGATTACCTGCAGCCCTTCAGCCTCAGCCCGCTGCGGGCCGTGACACTGCAGTCAATGCGAGTTGTGTCAAGGTTTCTGCTGTGTCTTCACTTTGTGGGAGCTGTGCTATCCTGGCACAATTTCACATCCCTATCCTAGCACAATTTCTAGCTTCAGGAATGCAGCCGTGCTGAGAAGAGGCAGTGATGTCCCTTGTCACTGCCACCCAAACAAAATGAAAAGAAAAACTCCCTGAAAGCCACAAACGAAATCATCTCAGCCAGCAGTAAGAATTCCATAACGCCAAGATCTTCTCCCACTCCAGATCCTCAGCATCCAAACTGGAGAGCAAGGCAACGGGGCGATGTGCTGAGCAGCACAGCGGAGGGGACAGCGAGGTTTGGTGTCTGGGGACAGCGAGGCAGCGCCGGCCGAGCGAGCAGGGCTCTGGGGAGCGGGGTCCCTGGGGCACCACGAGTGGTGCAAGGAGGGACAAATACAGTGACCGACTGCTGCCTGCAGCTCGTGGTCCCAGGCGTGCTCCTGCCCCCAGGCTCCTCCTTGGCATGCAGACAGCAATTCAGAGCAAATCTGGATGGGCTGGACCCTCAGCAGCCACGATGTTGGCTCTCTTCTTGGGAAGGGTTTATCTTCAATTTACAGCTCTGCTGAGAAACTCAAATGTTTTTCTTCACGATTTGAAGAGGTTTTGCCAAGACATTCCAAGTTTTCAGATAAACCCACGCTCCCTGCCCTGTGCATCATTGCTAAAGCTCTTCCACACCAGGGCTGTTAGAATCCCAAACCACCAAAACATCTCTGTTTAAAGGAGAAATTTCCCTATGCTATTACGCAGAATTCTTCCCTGGGAATTTTATCCTTAATATAACTTTCCAAGGCACACTAATACTCTGTTTTCCCTTACTTCTGTTTATTTCCCAGCAGCAGAGTGTCTATTTTCTTATGCTGGTTATGGACAAAGCCACGCTTTGTGTGTTCCATCTGGATGTCTGTGCAGAGCATCGGATTCAGCCACCCTGGGTCCTGCGCACCGAGCTCCAGGACACAGCAAGGTGCCACGGAACCGAGGTGCATCGGGGGCTTCACAGTTTGGGAGCACGGTCCTTGGGCGGACGTGCTAAGACCTGAATGTTTCTGTTTTGCTGGGTCACTCAGCTGGAGGATGTTCTCAAAAGAGAGAACATGAACAGAAAATGGCCCTTCATGTATACATTCCTTGAGAACATACCGGGGTTGTCAGCCAGGCAGCAGTGCCAGCAGTCAGTACAGGGCTGAAGAAGGCATCGTTCACCCTCCAGAGGTTCCAGCTGGATATCCACGAGCTAGAAGAGGTTACTTCAAGCAGAACTTCCTAACTTCTACCCAGGTCCACGGGAAGGCTCCTCCTGGTAGTTTTTGCCATTTTTACAGCAGCTGAGCTCCACGGTTGAACCTTCCCAGGAAGCAAGGCTGGAGAAGTGAAGGCATACCCACCTCTGCAGGAGAATTCATTCAGTGTTGTGCCAAGAGGATGCCAAGGGCCCGGAACCCACCTCCCACTCCCCGAGCTCCAGCTCAGTGCCCCTGCAGAGGACAGCCCCTCGCACACACCCTGCAGAACCACCACGGGGTGCGCTGGGGTAGGAGTCGAGCTATGCTGAGCACCACCACCTCGGGCAGCTGCTGCAGGAGCTGGACACCAAGGAGGAATTCCTGAGTCCTGGCTGCAGAAAAAAAAAAAAAATCAATCTTTTTCTCTGGGATATTTCCAGCCTGTAATGTAAAATTATGCAAAGCTGTGTGAAATGAGCTGTGGATTAGAACCAGCTCCTCAGCAGATGGAGAGGAAATGCAGCTTCTTCGCTCTTCAAGTCAAAGAGAAAGGAGGTCACGTATCTGCACCACTGACACGTAGCAGTCTGTCGAGTTTCCTCTCTCCATACAGACACCAACCGATGCAATCGTACTCTCAGGGCAGTGACAGGCTTTCAAGCATCCCTCACACACAGACATTTCCTAGGAGGCTGTCAGAAGCAGGTAGGTAAGGAATCGTGCTGTGGTCCCGTGTGCTCATCGCACTGTTTCCGAAGCCTCAGCTGGTTGTGAAAGTCTCCCCTGGGGATCTGCATCTTTAGGATCCTGGCATTTGTCCCGGTCACCTGCAGCGCCGCCACCACGCAGCCAGCACCTAACTGGGGCTGGCTCCGCTCTCAGAGACGTCACTGGGAACGTCGCTGTCAACTTGCACAGCTGCCAAATTAAGGTTTATCCTTCAACGTTAGGTTTAAAATTAGTAAAAAGGAGAGCTGAAGTTTACCGTGCTCTGCTCCTTGCTAAATCTACCCGTAACAAAACCTTACTGCCAGAAAACCCCCCTGGTTTGTCAGCAGCAGCCCCGCGTGCTCTTCCTTCCCTACAAAACCCCTGTACTAGGGAGCCTGCTTTGTCAGCCCATTCTCTGCTGAGCAGCTTTCCTGGAACCACTGTCATAATTTCTGTGGCTACAGATTACATTCCTCAGGCTACGGTATTTTGCCTAAGTGCCTACAGTTCACCCACTCACATTTAATACCCCCCCCATGTGTTTTTTTTTCATTCTTCCAGGGTTAGGTATTACTGAGCAGGCAGGGAAGCACCGACAGCTACACACAGCCCAAAGAGGAATCCCAGAGAGGATGTGCGATTCCTCTCCTGACTGCTTCCACCCTATCAGTGCGCTTCCTGATGGCCAAAACCCGGAGTGAAACAAGCTGGATGACAAGTTCTACGTGAACTGGATGACTTTACATGCTTTCAGAGGCTTTTTTTCCCTTTTAGGTGCAGGTTTACACCGTAATTTTAAGTGCAGAGGGGAAGTCCTGATGTATTTTCAACAGGAGTCGGACTGTGAGTAGAAACCACCGAACATGTCACTGCTGCTATGCACTGAACTGTGGTGAGTGTGTAGGAGGCACCTGCTCAGAATTAGAGACTGCGGCAGAGCTACGAGTGGCAAAGCACTGTCAGGCCCCCAAGGAGTGCTCAAATCGCTTGTCCTCAGATCGATGTTTTACACCTTAAAGCACCGAACCTCCAAGGGGAAGGAGAGCGCTCCCATGTGCCAGCAACAACGAAGCTGCACGGAGTCAAGATCTCCTCGACACTCAGAAATGATTTTTTAGAGCCAGCAATCAGGGCAGAGCAGGAACTAACACACAGGCAGACAACGTGAAAACAAGGCAGAAAGGAAATGAAACTGCTCGTTAGCAACCTCCGGGTGAGCACACGCAGCGTGCTCGGCTCCGTGTCACCGTGCCCTCGGGTGCACCTCCCAGTGCCAGGTGTCACTTTGCTCAAGTGGCTTCCCTGCACAGATTCAGGACCCCGGTAACGCCAGGAAGTTCTTACCACTCAAGTCTTCACTTGGTACACCATGAGAGCCCTGGCTTAACTCAGTTAACACTTAACTAACCCCAAAAAAACATGTCAAGTGAGCATGAACACATCTTCATATGCAAAAATCGTCTTGCAGGAAATCTAAACGAGGAAAAACTTTGGAGGAAAGGTCACCAGCTGAATGCTCCACGCAGACAGCTTACCTTTCTTGAAGGTCATGGAGAGACTGCTCAGCTCTGTGAAGCCCCTCGAGGTCTTTCATCATCTTCTTCATGTGCTCCTTCGAGTAGCGGTTCTGGATATAGGCAAACCAGCAGCCTCCCACTCCGATGACAATGGACACCACCAGCATGAAGTCCTTCAGGTGGTTGTGACGAGTTACTGAAAGAGAAGCAGAGGCACCGCTGAATTCAGAGACAGCAGAAATGATTCACTCCGACATTTTTTGCTTGCACCGTAGCTGGGTGTGAGAACTGAAGGTGGTGTCGGGAGGAACTGTGGCCCAGGTGCCACAACGAAGGAAAATCTGAGCTCCATCAGTACTTAGAAAAACAAGAACCGTGTCAGTATTTATTCAATTTGAACGGGGAAGCAAAAAAAAAAAGTCTGAAGGATGAAATTCAAAATTTTGTAACACGTCTGGCATTCCATAATACGTGACAGCTCCTGCGAACCATCAGAACAGCTGTTTGTAGGGCAATACCATACTGCAACCACAGAGCACAGAGGCATAAGAAGTAAGAAAGCAACTCTTGAAAAAATCTGTGATCCCAGAGAAGAGGGAGATCCAGTTTCAAATCCTCAGTTTCCAGCAGAATTACAACTCGGTGTGGAACCCCTCCTTTTCCAACACTTAGCAGAACAGCTACTTTAAAGTGTGGATGCCCGAGAGAAATGAAGTAAGAAACTGTTTTCTTAGGTGCTGAAAAAAAAACAACACCAAAAACATGTTTGAAGCAGATCTTTTATTTTTTTAAAACTATTTAGCAAATCTCAAACAAGGATGTACCCAGGAAGCCACAGATGAGGATGATCAGCCCAATGAAGCCAGCCGTGATTCCCTGTCCAGCTGCTATCCCGGTTAGAGCAACCCTAATTTCTTAACCCTAATTTCTTCCTGTTACTGGTACGGCCGTTTTTATAGCTTTGATATCCAGACTGACGTGCCTCAGGGCAGCCACACATGGGCTCAGCCACCCCATACAACACTCCAAGCACCCGCAGCCCAACTCAGCTTCTCAGCACAGGTTCCTCTAAAACTCCCTGCAGACCCGGAGGTTTTGGCATCAGCGTTCCTGCAGATGGAGAGCAGGAAGGTGAGCGTGAGGGAGGGTTTATGTCAGAGCAAACCGTGCCAGCCCCCACACTCTGCTCGCCATCTCCAGACTTGTTGGTCTCGCTAAATTTGAGACGGATCTCTACCAAAAAGGTGCTGACATAGTTTGAAGTGACACGAACACGTTACTGCCTTCCCGAGTATTCCAAATGTAGAGCAGAAAGGCCTCCAGGGCCTCAAATTCATCTTTGCTACCTTAAAATACAATTAGCAAACAATTTTTGAAAGAAAAAAAAATCCTCCCTCAAAATGACAAAGCAAATTTCGGGCTTTCACTTCCCTTCCTTTTAATTTGTGCAAGCATTTAAAAACTTTCCTAACGCCTGGGTGTGAGCAGCATCCCTGCATAGAAAGGCATAAGAACCTATTCTCTTTTTCCCAGGAAACTCAAAAAATGGTAAATTTGTAAGAGAAGCAGAGACTTCATCCGATAAGAAGAGGTCGAAATACACCTCTCAGGCTGCTGAGAAATAATTTGTGTCACGTCTCCTGTCAAAACCTTTAATAAAATGTTTTTTTATATAAAAATTACTTGTCATTTAGAGTGATGAGGAATCTGATACCTGAGGCAAGAACAATATTTATTGTACCCCAGAATCTCTTTACGCCCCAGTGAAATCAGGTCCCGGTACAGGAGATGTTTGCTCTAACTCACGCCCACGTCGCTCCCAGCAAGCCTCTACGTTAGGTCAAGACACACGATCCAGAAACAACAGGGCATGGAAGAGACCAAGAAAACAAACACTGAAGGTATGCAGGAGACGATGAAAGAGCAGCAGAGGAGGATGTTGAGAGCTTTAACTGGGAGAAAAACACAGCTGGGTCTGGCAGACCTCAGGCTGGGGCGGGGATGGAGCACACCCAGAGCCCCACGCGTCTCCAAAAGTGATGTGCACAGAGAGGACTCGTGGGGACTGGAGGAACACCAAGCACAGAAGGCACGTTAGGTAAACGTTTGCCTTTTCCCATCCTGAAGCTGTGATGCAAATGATGCAGGGATTCGTCCACATTTTGGTTGCAAGCCAAGAAGATGAATTTGGTTGCAAGACGAAGAATTCCAGGAGCATGAGGAATACAAACACAACCAAACATGCACCAAGCATCGGGCTGAGATGAGTCACTGCCAGCCTCAGATCAGCCTCGTGTGAAGGTGGGCACAGCCCCGGGCTGAGGAATAAGCCTGGGCTGGAGAGGGCAGCCGCGGGGTGCAGGCAGGTGGGGGGCTCAGAAAAGGCCTGGACCCCAGGGAGCTCCAGGAGAGGACGGGGCGCCGTGCCAAACCGTGCCATCCCGTGGCGTTCTGGGGTCTGCTGGGTCTGTCATCATACTCTCTGACTGCTTGTAAGGGTCTGACTGCTTTGTAAGGGATTTGTTAAGTGGACTTAATTACCAGTGACAGAGGGCAGTGACCCGTTACTGCTCTCCCTGCATCCAAGTGCTGGAGCCCGACCCTGCTCCCGGTGTCACCACCTCTCCCCCAGCCCTCCCCGGGCACAGCCTCTCCGTGGGCCCTCTGCAGCTCCCTGTCTGCTGAGCAAAACTGGCCTCAAAGTGTGCTGGTGTAAGGGGGTCATCCTCGCCCGCAGAGACCATTTCTGGAGTTACTCACATGGGCTGCTGGCATCTGCGGCTGGTAGGAAGTGCTCAGGCTGAGAAAGCCAGAAACGAGGAGTGCACACCAGCCAGCAGGAGGGATGTGTAAAGGACGGTACCATGGGTTGACAGAAATATCTGTAATAGCTGTAATCTGCACTGAGATTTCTGGGGCAGATGGATCGCCTGAAGAGCACAGGACAGAACTGCAAACATGACACGAAAATCTTTAATTCGTTTAACTTGTTTCTATAAGTGCATTTTAAGAGTAAGAGGAAAAGATGCACCAAAAAAACAGCCTGCAAGCTCAGGCCATTGCCTTGGTGGTACCGCTACGGACAGAGGAGGCACCAGAAATTCCTCCCCGTTCCCCCTGCAAGCAGTCAGAGCACTGGCTCAGGACACAAACTGGCTCTCGGGTATCGCCGAGCAGAGCCCCCAGCTGAAACAGACGGATACCTGAGAGCATTCTCCTCTACACACCTCCTGGTCTGTCCTCAGCGGCTGTTTTTCTTTCTGGGTGTGGGCTGATGAAGGAAAGTGCTTGCACTACCACCTGGAAACTGGCGCTTGCAAGCAGCCGTGTTCCCAGCCTGCTGCATGTCAGACATGAACCACTCAGGAATTTCCAGCAAAGGAAATTTAAGCTGCCACCTCAATTCTGTCTTGGGGCGAACGCAGCTCATCACCCCGGCTCAGCTGCAGCAGCAGCAGCAGGAGCTCATTGAAATACGGTACCTGCAGTGCTCAGCTCATCTCTGTGTAACCTTATCGCGCTTTGCTCCACTTTGCTCTTCCTGGCCAACTGTTCAGGCTGCATTCAGCTTCAGCGTGGTGACGAACAGCATCTGAGCCTGCAGCTGGAAGCCCAGGGGCACGGGCACAGATCACGGACACAACGACACATCCCAGCTCGTGCTGCTTGCTTTTTTCCTTTTTACTGCTCTCATTGTAGCCTGCTAGACTTGAAGCTAAGGAAACATCACCTCCCGTTTGTCAGCAGATGAACAGAATTTCAGCAGAAGTGGATTAAATAAAAATCTTGGCTTAGCAATAGCGGTACAGCTCATGGAGGTGTGTATAACCCTCTGCCCTAGGACAATTTTTTAAGTTAGAGTGAAATTTCCCTCTGGACTGGTTTATCTATTGCTGGGAAGTATCAGTGCCACCTGTCACCTGAAGTGCTTCATCGATGGACAGCAATGCCTGGTGGCTATTGCCCTGCCCAGCCCACCAGCACTTATTGCAGTATTAATTGCTTTAATTTGCTTAAACACACAACCACCACACGGGTCTCTGTAGGTGCATAAATGGAAGAAAGAAGAGGAATAATGTCCTCGAATAATGTCCTCGTCCCAACTGAACCATTCAAAGGAGCCGTGGGATGTGGCCGTGCCAGCAGCCCTGCACCCAGCTGATGTGGGTCATGGACAAGGCTGCTCCGGGAGCCCCCCGGGGTGGCCAGGAGGCCATCCAAGCACCTTCCCCCCTTCTGTGTCACCTAGCGCATCACCTAACGTGCCACAGAAGAGTCCAGCCATTCTCTGAAAACACTCACTTGTAAATTCAACGCTAAAGAAATAAACAAGCCTCGCACTGGCCCCGCTTCCCATTCCGGATGGATTATCACAACATCCTCTTCCTAAGAAGCAGCTTCTGGCAAGTTGCTGCACATGCAGCACTTCAGATCCCTCATTTCGTGTCTTGAGAAGGCTGCCTGGGCGACTCGTTCGGATGACTTGCTCTCTGCCCTCGCACAATACCCGAGCTCTCCTCTCCTTTGCAGGTTTCCCCCCGTTCCCATTGCCTGCTTTCCCCAGCCAGCCGCAGCTCCGCTGCCTTCCCAGCCGGGCAGCTCCAGCCTTAGCCCGGGGTGCTGGGTGCAGCCCCGTGAGACACCGAGCAGCCCCAGCCCCAACCAAACCCAGCCCCAACCAAACCCAGCCCTGACCAGCCCCAGCCCCGCTGACTCACAGCCTCCTCCTGCTGCCAAAGCCACGCCACGCAGCCGCCTGGCAACAAGCAGCCTTCCTCTCCGGCGGCTTTCACTGAAGACAAGCATTAAGGAAACAACAGGGAAAACTCAGCTTGGATGTAGAAGTTGCCTTTTGGCTTCCTACAGCCCTGTAAGAATGCAGGTTCACCAGAACTGAAGCCTTAATTCCTGGGAAGAAGCGTGTGGGTAACGACGAGCACTGCGAGCAGGGCCGGGGCCACCAGCTGGGGTGGACATCCCGGCCACTGCCTCTGAGTGGTTCAAAGAATGGTAAATAAAAACCCAAATCATCTGAAACTTGGTTACTTTACCCCAGTTTGTGCACTCTCCTACTCTGTGCCAGATCCAACCCGTGCTTGGATTCAACCCGTCGCCCCGCAGAGCAGACAGGCTGGGGGAGAAAGGACAGACGTACAGCTGTTACGTCTTGTACTGACACTCACAAAAAACAGCATTTACCACAAACTACCCATTATTTTTCCACAAATGGAGTTCTCACTACCATTACCCTACTCAAAAATGCAGAGCATAAAGCACGTTCACTAGCTATTGTTGCACTAAGTGGGGTTTCCCCGATGAGCATTTCACCAAGTCCCTTCGGTTTGCTGTGCACAATGCTACCCCCTGCCACCAAACCACACCAAACACACAAACCCACACCCGTATTCCCCAAATTGCTAGCAGAAGTGCCTGGAATTTAGCAAATGAATGATTATAGCTTCCAAACAGCTGCATTTTAGTAAAACCCTTGGAGGGGCTCTGTCGGGGTCCCCTGGAAGCGCTGCCACGGGGGCTGGTGGCTCACCACACTGCTCACCACTCAGCTCACACTGCTGCAGCCCCACGAAATGCCCAAGGTGCTGGGATCACGCTTGGTTTGATCAAACTGCTCCAGATCAGGGATTTCGTGCCAGAACACCTGCTGCTTACTGCCTTTCTGACAACTCTGCTTTGCAAAGGAACTGCAAACTGCCCCAGAGGAACGTGGCAGAAGCCGACTGCGTAGGAAGTGTCTCGAGCAGTTTTCGGAGCTGAACCTCAGACAGCGCCAAAAGCACCACGGGTACAAACACTGCGGGATGAGCAACTGGCATCAGGGACACTGGTTTCTGAGCTTTTTTTCTTTTTATTTGTGGGAGGCAAGGAGGAAGCACAAACACCGTTTTGCAAAGCCCACAGCAGGCACGCAGGTGGCTGCAGGATGACCGTACGCTGCGCTGGGTTTGCAGCGCTGCCGTGTTTTAGGTTTTAAAGAAGCGAGGTAAGAAGCTAAGCAATAGGAAAAGTGGAAGAGTAACCTGAATTTTTTTGAACCAGAGACCCACCATGAACGACACAAATTGAAAGCCTCAATTTTTAAACTGAAAGTTTCCCAATGTTTTGCTTTGGGAATAAAACCTGGTTGGATTATTGGAAAAACAGCAATTTTAAAGCAACTTACATTAGCACTGATAAAAGAAAAGAAATCTACATTCCACACCAGTTATTTATAGTGAAATTGAAGTATCAGAAAACATGGGAATTACTAATTTTTTGGTTCCTCTGTGGGAGCTAACCAGATCTGCGATGCAGCCTGCCACGTGCAGAAGCAGATGGTTTCAGACAACACAGGAAAGAAGAAAAGCTCAGGCTGCAGCTGCTTGAGGTACAACAGCAGAAAACCAAGCACAGAACACACACCTCCTTTAAAAACTGAGCTAACAATCTTCTACATTTCCCTGAAGGCACTTAGCATTCCTGTCTTTGTATCAAGACTGGGACTTTCCTCCAGTACTCGAACACTTCTGTTTGCTAGTGGGCTCACACCAGAATCAGGTAAAGAACCTAAAGAGCCTTTGAAAGATTTGCTGATTTTGAGGAAAATGGGATGTCTGAGCACCAAGCACACCCCCTGGGTTTTTAGCTTCCTAGCTATTGTTAAAAAAAGCCACAGCTTATTTAACAGCTGCTTGTCACATGGACAGACAGCTCCACGGACTGACAGCGCTGACTTGTGAGCAGAAAAGTCACTTACAAAGTGTCCTAACGGGACAAAGCTGCTCTTCCGTATAGGTGCAGGAAATCCAAACACGATCCATTTAACTGTAAATATTTAAAGAGGATGGTAAATCTCACAGCGATAAATCAATCTGCTATTTGGTTAAGAAATTCTATTGCTTTAAACAAATAATGTCTAAGCGGGTCTCGAAGTACTTGTCAAATACTCCTCTAATCACAACAAACAGAAACAAATCAGCCACACGAAGCTCTACCAAGGGACACCTGGCTTTGTCCACCCCCGAGTGGACACCAAAGAAATAAACATTTGCTGAAAAACAACAAAAAAAAGTAAGTTCATCCAGAAACCTGCAACAAGTGCCACGTCCTGTTCGGGTGCCCATTGTCTGATCCAAAATCACAGCACGGTGGGGCCTTGGGCAACACATGAGGAGACAAACAGCTGAGTCTGTTACCTGAGAGTTATAAATAAAAATCTACATTCCCTACTCACAAAGAAAACCCTATGGTTTTACATTTCACTGCTTGCTTCCTTAAATTCTCCTCTCCTGTTTCACCCGAAGTTGTGATATTTGGTCCTGGATGAATTTCTGAGCTAAGGAACAGGAAAACAAAGGAACACAGACACAGACCCCATCAGTTCATCTCGCCTGGTTTGTAATTTCACCATACTCCTGTGCGATGGATTAATTACAGAGCTGTAGCCCTGCAAGCAAGCAGACCTCTTTGAAGAGAGGAATCACACGTCTGCAGTCTGGCATAGAAAATGAGACCACAGGAGCCTGCTGATCAGCAAGCAAATTGCCCAGGCGCGCATCAGCCAACTGGTGCTGCCTGAAGCCTCTGCTCCAAACTATGGGAGACATCAGAGAAGTTTTTAGCCTCAGGACGAGGAAGTCTTCCCGACTTTATGGGGCAGAATGAGAACCAGTGCCCTGGCACTGGGGCTGGAATCCCCCCTGGCAGTGAGACGTCTGGATTTGTGAGTCTGAAGGAAGCAGCTGTGGTACTCCAAGCTGGGCTGGGTGTATTTATTGCTTCCTATGCATTGCAGGTACAAGAGCTTCTTTGGGAGAGAAGAAAAACCAGTAAGATCCTGCACCTGTGAGCCACATCCTGCTGCTGGGAGCTTCCCTTGCAGAGGCAAGGAGCAGGAGACCACCTTCACCGAGCAAACAAAAAGAACAAGAACTGGAACGCACCTGAAACCACTGAATCTGCTGCAGAGCCAGAAGAGCAGCTTCTGCAGCTTAAAAGGTCGCTGAGAACTTCCTGAGTTACTGCTGATCGCTGATGGCTGCTGAGAGCTGCTGCCTTGCAATCAATTTCTCAAGAAATTAGTTTTACACAAGTGAGTTCTCACCATAATAAACCCGAGACAAATCCATTCAGTTAACTACCAACTAGCAAATATTGCTGCCTAAAAAGTGTTAAATCCCTGCTTCAGCTAAAAGCTTAAAGGATTCACATACCTGATCGGTATTGTATTGGGTTTAATGGCAAGGTTTTGGTAGCTGGGGGTGCAGGGGTGGCCTCTGTGAGAAGGTCAGTGCAGCAGGAGGGCAGGAGGTGCTCCATGAACCAGAGCACAAGTTCCCCTGCGGCCTGTGGAGAGGCCCCTGGTGGAGCAGGCTGTCCCCCTGCACCCATGGGTCCCACACGGAGCAGATCTCCACGCTGCAGCCCCCCCATGGGTGGAGGAGCCCCCAGTGGAGCAGGTGGATGGGGTCTGGGGGGAGCTGCCACCCACCCGTGGGGGCCCCGTGCTGGAGCAGTTTGGGACTGGGGGATGGACCCCGTGGGACGGAGCCATGTGGGAGCAGTTCTTGAAGCCCCTGAGGGATCAGTTGGGGAAGGACGGCATCCATGGGAGGGACCCCACGGGGAGCAGGGGCACAGAGGGACCGTGAGGGGCGGCGGGGATGAAGCGTCAGGGACTGACCGCAGCCCCCATTGCCCGTTCCCCTGCACTGCTCAGGGGGGAGGAGGTGGAAGGGGGTGGATGGGGGAAGGTGTTGGAGTTTGTTTTTTTGATTGTTCCTCACTGCTCTGTCTTGTTAGCAATAAATTTCACCCGGTTTACTCCGAGCAGCCGATTTGCCCAGGATTTGCCTTGCTGCGTCTCCTCTCAGGAGCCTGGACACGGACTGAAGACAAGAAGTGTCGGCACTGGCTGCACCAAGGGCTGGACTTTGGAAGCTCCTTATCACTTCTCACCGGCCAAAAAAAATCAATTTCTCTGTGAGGTCGTTAGCGTGTCCACGTTGCGCAGAGCCAAGGTTCATCCTGCCTGCTACTGCCGACTCTCTGGTACAGCCATCCTCGCTGGCACTGCCAACAGTGGGCAGCAGCAGACGCTTAAAAAACCACAGAAATAACAGAGGAAGTGGTATTTCTGATGGTGTGTATTTCCAGCTGCCAGCAACCGAAACCATGGCAGTTCCTGAGCCAGAATTTGCATCCAGACTATTGTATTTGTACTGTGGTGAGAAAGAACCCCTTTGTATTCGTTTTTGAAAGCCTCTCACACAGGGGGCACAGGGGGTACGCGTTAATTAAAAGGAAAGATAAGCACTTTGCAGGAGGGCTCAGGACGTGTGCAGTCGATACAGGCTGCCTTAAAAACCCATCACATCTGCGTGATGCCAAGCAAAACAGGCCCCTGATCAAGCAAGACTTCAGTTTACCTTACAAAAGCATCAAAAGCTAAAGAGGAAAACATGAGTAAGTGGGAAAGACACAAGAAGTACATTTAATAAAGAGACGGCAGACATGAGGCAGACAGAACGAATGCAAAAGGAGCACCCCAAGCTGCGCTGAGATAAACATCAGAGTGCTTCTAGATCATCCCCAGAAGCCTGTAATCAGCATCAAAAGAACTCAGTCCCTTGCTCTCATTCATCCTAAACACTGCTGTTCTGCTGGTTTGGAGGACCCGGACAGCCTGCAGTTACACCTGAAGGCAGCTGCTCTGTAAGGATGCAGGTGGCTCCATCCACAGATGTTAACACATGGCTGCAAACCCCACCGCTGGGCCAATTAAGGGAAAGGATGGAAAGGTTTCTCCTACAGACATGGGAAATCCCAGCAGGAAAATGCAGCCCACGCCTGCAAGAGGCCCATCAAACACAGCGCTTTGTGGCAGGATGCCTCTCCGGCTGCAGAGCTGCTGGGTTACACCAGAGGCAACCTGTTGCTGTGTCTGGCTGATCATACCAGCAACAATTTAAACAGCATGAACCCTGGATCACGCTGATTTGTATCTCTGCTGTTTGATGCTGATTCCTCTCACTTAACAGCCGCTGAGGTTTGCAGTGTTACTTACAGAGAGGAGGCCCAAAGAGCACAGTGTCGAGAGCTTTCAGCTGCAGTTTCTGCCTGTGGCTTCTGTCTGTCATTTTCAGAACAGTTCCCATCATGGTAGCGTTGTTTACGGCTAGCCTGTAAAAAAAAAGAATGAGGCATGGTCACATCCATCTGAATTAATAACTGCCCATAACTAGTAACATGGAAACTACAGGAGGAGAAATGTGATGAACAGGACCAATAAACTACCTGCTTAGACCATCAGGACAAAAGAAATCCCTCGAATAAAGTTGTTTCTTATAAAGAAGATCTGTATCAAAGTGTTAAACAGCACCGTGGCAGTGTTTAAGAAGCATTTGGACTGTGCTCTCAGCCATATGGCCTGAATTTTTGGGTTAACCTGTGTGGAGCAAAGGGTTGGACTCACTGATCCTTAGGGGTCCCTTTCGACTCGGGATATCCTTTGATTCTGTGATCATCTTTGGCTTCAGTTAGAGAGGATAAAAAAATATGGCCATGCCTATTTTATTTATCCTGACAACCTAAACTACTGACAGAATTATTTTATTAAATCAATTTCCACTGATAGCCTTTGACATCTGACTATAGGGACATCCTTCTCCCACAGAAGAAACCTGAGCACACACCTTGCACTGCCTTGAACACCTTATTTTATTTTTTTTAAACTTATCCATCAGTTTATAGGTTCCTGTACAGAGAGAATAACCTTTACCCAAAAAGCTGCACTCAGATTTTTCAAGTTTTTTTGAGTTTAAGTCACTTTACAGCCAGCACTTCTCTTGAGCATCTCGTGGGTTTGAAGTCTCCTTTGCTGGAGCATCAAGGGGCATGAATTAACATCAGCACATACCAGTGCTGGGTGGTGCAGAGACACACACCTAGCCCTGAGCCAGTACCCCTGAACTTCTAGATGCAACCCAACAAGCAGAGATCATCCCTTTGCTGAGGATGATGAACAATGACAAAGAAGCCTGGTGACTTCCCTGGGATTATGAAGGAAATCTGTAGCAGAGCCAGGATGTCACCGAGATCTGTTTTGCTCTAGCTCAGGGTTTTAGCTCTGAAAACACAGCTCGGGCATATGCAGACTGATGAACTCTGGTCCCAAAGCAGCACGGACAGCATTTCCAACCACACCGCTCAAACTGCAGCCTCTCCTTTCACCCACAGCAGGTACCTGCCCCCTTACAGCTAAATCAATCCCTGCAAAGAACACTGCAGCAGAGCCAAACCCTCCAAGTGTAACTGAAGCGGAACAGGAGTTCTACGTGGCTCTGCACACGCAGATGAGCTGCACGTGATGTTATGAAGCCACCTCAAGTCTGTTCTTCTCCCTGGCATGCCTCCCACAGACTACGCAGTGAGCACTGACCTGGGCATGGCGTGTCCACTCAGCTGCAGCTTTCTGAAGGTCTCTTCGTACTGCGGCAGCTCGACGTAGGTAATGAGCCACTGAACCACCTCGTCAACCGTCCAGTTATACACTGTGGGTAGAAAACACGCAAGCAGCTTAGGATTTTTACCAAGCAACTAAAATCATCAAGTCAGCAACAACAGCATAACCAGTTACTTCCCCGGATACACCTCTTCCTACTGCCTTCAGCAAAGGGAAAACGTGTGTAGAGGTGAAACAGATACGTTCCTACAAAATATGCAGTGAGTCAGCATCGGAGCCCATGAAATCCCAAGGGCTGTTATCCCAGGAATGTACCAGTGGCCGAGGTCCTCTGGGAGCCCCAAAGTACACGCAGGTGGTAAGGGAAACTGCTTAGCTTTCTGTCATCCAGGTGATATTGCTGCTGTCTCCTAACTGCCAACAAAGCACGTTTGTCCAGGGGAACCTTTCTGTGCAGTGGCCTCACCTGCCTTGTGGATTTCCATCATGCGCGGTCAGCCTGGGTGCCCTGCTTTGAGGGGCTTAACATCCACACTGAGCTGACACAAAGCTCAAATACCATGGGTAACAAAACCATTGGGAAGGGAGCTTCTGCCTCTCCAGCTTAGTTCTGCTGTACTTACAGTAGCAACGTGAAAGCAAAGGAAATCAGGCAACATAATCTTACATTGGGGTTGTTATTTTGCAATGCTTTAATTTACCAGCTTCTGCCTTTGCTGAGCGTGGGCTGAGTTCTTGGGGCATTCACCCAGCCTCCAGCAGCTCAGAGAGCTCAGTGCTGGACGCCCACTCTGCCGGTCACTGCCTCGCACCCAGCCCGGCGTCCTCCAGGCTGACTCACGCGCGGTTTCCAGCAGCCAAGCGGAGAAAAGACCCATTTACTACTGGCTTAAAGGGCTGTGTCAACACTGAACTCAAAGCTTCGTGGTCCCGTCTTAAATGTCAACAGTGATTTGCCCCACAAATATGAGAAGCATCTTCCAAATCACTCTAGCGAGCTCAGTGCCTCCAACAGCAGGATGACAGAACCGACGGGACGAGAGCCAGGAGCTAAGCAGAAGACAGCAAGGCTTCAGAAGAAGGTATAATCCTCATGTAAACTTGCAAAATGATTCATAGAGGCATGTTCGGAAACGCAAAGCTTTAGGAAACTCCCTGTAGTTACAGTCCCTGGACCACAAACTGTGGGAAACTCGTTTTTGTGGCCAGAAGCAAGACGTGAGACTGAAGCTGGCAGGGAAAGCCGTGCCCGTGGCCGTGCCCAGCGCAGCAGGACAGCCGTGCTGCACCCACCGAGCCCCCTAAAGCAAGGGGCCCACGGGAGGCAGAGACTCAAGCCAGCTCTGAAGCACCTGGGCACCCTGCTAACCCCGTCTGCTCCTCGCTGGAGGCCCCCAGAGGGTCCTGCTGGGCTGCACGGCCACGGCAGGGGCACGACGGCATGCAGGCTGCTGCGTGAAGAGATGGAGGCTGCGCCTGCTCTGCACCCTGCCCACAGGCCATCTCCTGCTTCCAAGAGCCACACACACCGAGGGATTTATATAAATCAAAGCCAAGCTGTTGTAAAAGCACCCAAACCTTTCGGAAAAGGGATGTAGGGAATGGACACACGTGTCCTGGACGTGCCTCGAGTGCTGTGTCAGTGCTGCCCTTTGCAGCCGCACAGAGCCCTGGTCTTCTTGCCAGCTTCAACTATTTTACAGCTCGCTTTCAAACGCCCGGATTAGTCCCCAAACGAGACCACTTTTGGAACCAGTCATTAATTTTATCAGCCAGATACGCAGAACAATGAGAAAGAAAAGCAGCGCGCTAATTACATCCCCCAAAACAAGAGCCGTACCACGGGAGCTGCACGCGGAGCAATGCCACTTCCTGCCCTTGTCAGCAGCAGGAAGAGAGCAAAAGCAGCTCCGCAATTAAGGGACCCGGGGAGTATCCCGGGACGGTCTCCTCCATCCCCTAATGGCTTCTGTGCTTACCCAACCAACGCTGCAATGCACTTCTGGCAAAGTCATCTGTAATCAGCCGCACCACGGAGTAAATATTTCTGACACAGAAGGCAGAGCGATTCGGTAGCGTCCTGCTGGCTCCAAGTGGCTTGGGCAAGGATTTTAACCACGTGGCTGTGCATCAACGTGGGACAGAGAGTCCAGGCCTGGATAAACAATGCCAGGACCGTGCCCAGAATCGCTGCACCTTCAGACAGCCCTTCAAACACTACAGCCGAGAACGTGGTCCTGGGACTGGGAGAGATGGTGACATGCCTACAGCGGTACCTACACAGGGCTTTGAAGGCACTGAGCACATCCCATCCCCGGGTGATTTAAAAGCTGAGGCTGACAGATCACATGCAAATGGTACAGGACACGAAAGAGAAATGGAAAATTTGATAAATTCATCAGAAGACTAAAAGCCATTTTTTCAAGCAAGAGGTGTTCATAACACCTGATCTTGTCCTGACCTCGGAGGACAAAGGGAAGGGAAAAGACTACAGGTAAATTGACCAGCAGCAATTAAAACTATTGGGGAAAAAAAAAAAAAAAAAAAAGATGTTCTCAGTCTTGAGAGCATACTGAATAGAAAAGGACAACTGAGGAGCAAAATGCGGTCACTGGCAGAAATGGTCCATGCCACAGATCACAGGAAACCCCCAATATATCAATAATAAAAGTTTCTAAAGCAGAATGAAGGTGGAGGGGTGAATTTTAAGATTTCTCAAAGCAGAAATAATTCTAAAATTCTGGTCAGGGAAAAAATGAAAGTGAAATTGTGCCAAGAAGTCCCAGTGAACCTAAAAGCTTCTTCAAAAATTCACAAGTTTTAGGGAGTTTCCCACCAGGGACTGAACTTTCACCACCTCGCTGGACTAAGCTGCTGCGAAGAACAAAACCATTTCATGAGCTTGCAGCTTACATCTACATTGAATGTATTTATGTACACTTAGCGTTTTAGGGTTTTATTCTACCTTTTTTTCAGTAGTTTAAGGAGCATCTCAAGTTCAGCAAATTTCTTCTCAGGGAAATACAATCTGTAGAAAAACTCCCACACAGCTCTATTTAATATGTAGGATGTTATTACCCCATAAAACAGCAGCTGAAACTAGAATTTAAAGGAGAAACTGGAATAGGGCAGTATTTGGCTCTATTTTAACACGTTTATAGGGGTAGAGAAAGAAAAACAATTTAGACTTTTATGGCCATACTCAGATGCCAGCATTAACAGCTGAAAAGTACCAAGAGCAAAAAAATGCAGGAATGCCCAAAAGAAGGAAGCTGGAAAAATAACTTAGAGAAGGCAGCAAAGGCAGAAAGAGTATTTTCCCTGCAATGTACACACAGCCCTTTGTAGCAAGGAGTGTGTGTGTGTGGTTATTTAGGTTATTTCATTTTGCTTCTGTTTTTTAATTTTTTACCTTCAGATGTCTTCCAGGCCTTCCAAAGATCTTCCACGCTAATGAGCTTGTCTTCTCCATGGAAAGTGCTGTGCTTGACCGTTGGGTCATGGTAATTCAAGTCCTCTCTCAAGAACTAGGAGAAGAAGAAAGAGCAGGATTATTCTTCAATTCGTCATTTAGACAACAGGAGAGTTAAGAAGTATTTCACCTTCCTATTACTATTACATCCGCATGTTGTCACGGAACACTTTCTGCAGCAAAGCCCTGCTAGCTCTGGGTTGCAGCACCTCAGGCTTTACTCACTCGGACTAAAATTACACCACCTGCCTAGCTGAGCTGCTGTAAGAAACACTGCCACTACTGAACACCTGCAGCTTGTTGGAGCTGCACGCATTTATCTCTACTTCCAGTGCCACGGTCACATTTTGCCTCCTTTTTCGTGCTGGGGAGGCTGCCCCTGGCCTGGAGCTGGTGGCGAGAGCCCAGCAGGGCCCCGAGGTCTGGAGGGCCTGGAGCACCTCTGCCGTGCTCTGCCACGGCTTCTGGCATTTGGGAAGACAAGTCAGGCAATAGCCAGCACGTATTTATGTTAAATTAATATTACATTGACTTTAATACAGATAAACATCGAGTACCAGAATAACAGGACCTGGGCTGTGGGGACTGCAGACTTTCTCTGGATTGTAACCGCTCCCAGAATTCAGCTAAATAGTAGAGTGGAACCGACTTTACGTCAGTGGGGTAACAATGAAAATAAAATTATTATTATTACTGGATGGGATTTGCAACTCCAAACGAAAGCTGAAGCCCGTGCCGCCCGCAGGGGCCGAGGTGTGTTCCCTCTGGAGGCTGCAGGGAGGGCAGCGCCATGCTTTCATGGAGGCAGCCTCCTCGTCCCTGCAGGCTCCACTGGTTACAGCGGGCTTACTGGGACAAAGCAGCTCCCAGCACATTTCCTGAAAAGTTCAGTCCAGGGGCTTACTCAATTAAATGAAAAATAGTGAAAAAAAGGAGACTGCGGTGATGTAAAGGACAGCCCACGAGCTCACTGTGCCGCTGCTTGCAGCCTGCTGCTCCCAGTCCCCAAATGCTCCGGGGCAGTTTGTGGGGTCAATATTTGCCTTTTGCTTAAACTGTTCTCCATTTCCATGTTTGCTTCCTCTACGTTAATGTGGTGCAATCAAATCACAGGCAAAACAGCAACAGCAATGGAAAAGACGAGTGGCACCCAAGGCAATCAGGTGTCAGGAGTGGTGAGGGTGCTGCTGGTGCTGCCGGCTGAGCCACTGAGGAATATTTGTGTCCTGTCATCGTCTGCAGCCGGATCAGAGCTCACATCCATCACAACAGCATCTTTCTTTCGTTCCCATCCTCCTCGAATCTCAGGGGAAGATGGGGCAGAAACGGGAGACACCAAGGAAAAGTGAAGGAAATCGGATCAGAAAAAAAAAGAGGGGGAGAGTGGGGAAGTCTAACGAGGTTTGGGACGGCACTCTGGGAAGGAGGAGTTCAGGAGAGGGGAGGCAAGCACGAGTATGTGAACACGGAGCAGAGGGAAGGAGATGGCTCACATCCCAGTTCCTAGCATAACAACTAAATGAAAAGACAATTCCACATTTACATCCCTACCTGCACGACTCGCTGTGTGATCAGCAAGCACATTTCTGTTCCGTTTTTTTTTAAGGTGAAGAGTGTAACAGAATTATTTAAAAAGCTATCTATGCATAAAGAGATTGTATTTCAAGAGTATATTGGATATTAAAAATATCCACAGCAATTTTAACCTTCTGAACCCTTTACAAGCCCACTCGGGGCGCTGCCAACGCCAGCGCCAGGTGTCTGTGGCTGGAGCCTCTCGGCCATCTGCCCTCTTGCTTTGCAGCTTGCAGAAAGCGTTAGCTCCCCCCAAAAAAAATGCTTCTTGCAGAAGTGTTGGCTCCCCTCCCACGTTGTCACGGAGCACACAGGACACCAAACCCCCGGGAAGCTGCAGCACGTGCAGCACAGTGCAGCCGGGCCCCCAGCAGCGGCCGTGCCTCGGTCTGCCTCCCGCTGCTGTGACCTCCAGGGCCGGCAGCAATGTCACCCGGCGTCACACACCGGGCGGCTGCGAGCTCCCACCGGGACGCAGGGATCAGCTGCTGCCCTGTAAATTTAGCTCGGGGAGCTCAGGAAGGGAAAGTGATCCCTCCCGGCTCCCTGCAGCACCCGGCATCCCAAGGAGCCCGCGGCACGCTCGCGGTGGGAACAGGCAGGGGCCGGGATGGGAGTCACAAAAGGGGCTGGGGTGGAAGGGACCTTAAAGACCACCCGGGCCAGCCGCCTGTCCCACACTTCTCACTGGATGCAGGATGTGGCCACTGCACCAAGCCGGCTGGGAGAGCTGGGGGAGCGGCGCCGCATGCACCAAGGCCCAGGGAAATGCCAAGAGCAGCTTTTCTCCGAGTGTCTTCTATGGAAAGGATAAGAAACAAAATGCAAACAGAGCAAGTCAGCCAGAGCTCGCCTCCACTGGTCTGCACGGAGAGCTGGTCCTGCCTGGCGACTGGGGTCTCTGCAGGGCTGCTGGTGTCACTCGCTGTCTCCAACCCATGTCAGAAAATTGGGATATTTTCAGCTGTAGCGGGTACGGCAGCTTCTGACCTGCTAACTCCGTATCCAGCAGCATCAGAAATGTTCTGAACACGGTGCTGAACATGACTGCTCCACCCACCACGTGCTGCCAGCCAGCACAGGTAAATAGGAATAAATACAGCTCCTGCTCTGCGCACTGACGTGCCCGCAGCTCTCAGGGCACTTCTCCCACCTACTGCATGAAGTTTTCTAGCTGGAAGCTGTAAGGCTCTCATTTTTTCCCCACTGGAGAAAACTCCTCAGAGATTTCACACCCACAGACAACTGTCCTGAGCACGTACACGATGTGCATTTTAAGACGTGTATGTGGAACAGCCGTGGGATACCCAGATGGCCAAACACCCAGCGAAAGGACCAGCGCACAGAATACCAACCTCAAACCCTTACAGAGCAGCACGTCAGAGCACTGAGGACACGCTGCCGGTGCTATCCCCAGAGACCCAAAATCTCTGTGAAAAGTGTCTCTGGGTGGCCCTGCCCGGGCTGGGGCTGGAGCAGGAGACCTCCAGAGGGCTGCCGGCCCCAGCCAGGCTGTGAACACAGAGGCCAGGAGGTTTCTCACCACGTTCAGTGAGACAAAACCTCCAGCATCAGGTGGAGGACCCCCCGAACACCAACTACAGCACCTTCTCAGGGTTATAGGACCTGGTCAGACACCCGTGTTTTAATTCTCCACCAGCTCATTATTCTCCCCTCTAAAAGGGGCAGGGATCTGGGGCTGCACGGGTTCTGTGGTTCATACAAGCCCCTGGTCTCGGAGGCTGAAAGCACACCCAAAACTCAGCAGTTCCATGCAGAACAATTTTCTGGAGATTAGCCTTGTGCTTTCTAATCTGCAGAAACCCTGTCTGCCTGCAGGACCCAAACCTTCAGTCCCCTCGACGTTCCCAAATCCCACCAGCTGCACAGGGCAGGGGTGCCCCACGAGCACCAGCTAAATGAGTGTGTGCTACATGAGCAGAACAGGCTGATGGAGCTCAGCACGCAGCGTGCCCCCAGGTAGCGTGTGATTTTCAGGTCTTCTGAGCTGATTTTCATAAAAAGTTGCAGGAAACTTCTGTCTTCAAGACCTCTTTCTCACTAACGTGCCTGAAGCGAGACAACAGGATCAGAAATTATGAGGAGCTGGGGAGTGACAGAGCGGTAACAGAAACCTTGTTTCCTTAGGAAACCAGGCTAAAAGTGTCGGAGAGAGCCGTGGATTTAAACCTAAATCAGAGTAGCCCCTAAACAGCTGGAGCTGCCTTTTGAGTGAGCGCGAAGAGCAGAAATAGATCGCTAATTAGAAGATCTCCCCACGAGGGATAGCTCTTTCAATTTAATTGAGGTCACTGATGTCATCTTAAACTTCATTGAAAATTCAATCCAGAAAGGAAAGATGCCGCGATGATTTAAGGGCAGCGTGAAGTTGTTGGACGAAATCTCACGCACCCTACCTATAATTAGAACAGCTTAAAGATAAACTTATCATCTGCCTCTCACTCCCTTTCTGCACAGTCTTAATCCAAACACAATATATCTGTAACTTATCCCGGAGAGAAAGGGCCAAAACAACAAACCCAAGTTCAAGGTTCCCAGCTGCAGCTCTCACCACGAGCGTGGCCGAGGGACAGACCTTGCAGGGTGGGCAGCATCGCAGCACGAGCCCCTGTGCTAAAAAGGCTGTGGGACCTCTGCCCTCCGCTGGAGCGTGCAAACGCTTCTGGAGAACAGGTGATTAAAGCCAAGCTTCAAAATTACCTCAGCCTATCCTCAACAGAGGAAACTTTTTTTTTTTTTTAATTAAAGCATTTGATATAAGATGAATCCGAAGGAGAAATGTGGTTTACCAGGCAACTCGTCCAGCTAAGCTCAGCACATCCCTGCAGGAACAGCCCACCACCAACACACTGCTCCAGAACGACACGAAGATGTCAGCTCATTTTGTTCTGTCTCAAATTCACCCATAAAAAAATAAATCCCAAGTATACAAACCCCCACTGAGGGGAGCCTGCCCAGAGGAACTATTTGTGGTACGGCACATTCTTCCAAACAATATCCCCAGCAGCTGTCCCACAGCCAGAGACGGGGCATTAAAACACGGTTACAGGGACAGCGAGCGGCTCCGGCAGGAGCAGGCTGGCCAGAGAAACCTCTCAAAATGTGACCTTCGGGGGCTTCAAAGCCTTCACAGCACGGTTAACTCAGCACAGCTTTAACGTCAGCACAGGTCTCGAGCTCAGCAGGGGTGAGGCTCGCAGCCCCAGCGCCGTCTCGCTGCCTGCACACGCACACAAGCACTCATCAGCTCTGAAAGGGAAGCCAAGGAAAAAGACCTTCAGTCCCCAAAAAGATGCACCTGTGTGATGTCGCCTAGGTTATGCTGTGAGGCACACAGGATTTTGCAAATTTTCTCCAATCGTGAAGCCAGACGTGAGAAGCACCGGGCAGCTGGAGGCACGGCCCCGCTGCAGCCGTGGCGGGGATTTGCTGACTCTCTGCTGAGCCCACGCATGTGTCCCCCTGCTGCGTGGGGCTAGACGAGCACCAGCAGCACGGCACAGCCGCACCAGGAGCTACCTCGGCTCTCCTTGCACCACGTCTGAGAAGGAGAGCATGGCCACGTGCATCACCTTCCCTCCAGGAACCCCGCACACCTCCGTGGGGACAGCGAGCTGCAGCCCCTGGGCGAGTGGCTGAGCGAAGAGTGGCCTCGAGGGAAAACACCACGTTTTAGGAAATGCAGTTCAGAGCTTTTCATTTCACACAAGCACAGCACCGCAGCTCTTCATTTGCTCAGGAAAGCTTTTCATTTGTTGTAATTGCTCCACGAAGCAGAATTTAGGCAGAGGAAATGGCACCGCAGCCTGGGAACAGTCAGCCGAATCCACCCAGCAGGAGCAAGCACTGCTTTCAGCTCGAGGCTGCCGTGCTGATTCCTGGGGGACTGCAATCCTCCCAGAAACAACAGGGGCCTCGTCACGAGCAGCTTTGCCCCTGCTGCATGAGTTCAGGTGGAAGGTTTCACCTCCCTGGACTTCCATTTCTGCATCTGGGAACTGTGAATAACGCGTCCTAGAGGAGGGCTTCTGGAGGACGGTGCAGCACTACGCAGGTGCTGTCGTTGCCTCCCCTTTGACATATGCATCAGAATGAGAGAAGAAAATGAAAGCTGTGGGTCCAGAAGCATTGGGCTGTGTTTCTGGAAGCTGTCTGAGGGTCCTCAGGTTCTCCCAGCACCAGGAGGTGCAGCGTGTGCCCCAGGAGAGCAGCGGCACGGGGCTGCCAGGCTCACCACCCGCGTGCTGGGTCCCGGGCCCAGCAGTGGCTCCTGCTTCCCCTCCTTCCACGGCCAAGAATTCGGATCATTCGGCAGCCCTCGCTCCCAGCGCAGCCTCGGTCGCGTGCCATGGACTTGGCACAAGATGTGTGCTGCCACCGGTCAAGAAGCTCCTGCAGCCCTCGAGCCAGACATCGTGCACCTGAGCCTTGCGAGCCACTCCTGCCCAGCCACTGGTTCTGCAACGGATCGAGGAATTGGGAAAACAGGGATCTTGTGGCTGCCAGCTCACCTTGACAGCCTTTGTTCTTTTAACTTCCAACATTGCTCTTTTTAACTTACAACACCTGGAAGCCCTGAGGGTCTTAAACGAGCATCCACTGCAACTGGGGAGACACTACAGATAGCAAAGCTTTCTCTTTTCAAGTAGTCACTATTTCTACTGTCACTAAGGTAGGAAAAAAAAATATTTCTCTTTATTAAAATTATCAGCTAAAATTTCAATGACCAAGACAACAAAAATTAGTTTCTTTTTTTCTGCAGTATGGACAAACATGCTGTAACAGTTTCAGGTGGGTTGGTGTGTGCTGGGCCTGGCCGTGCTGGAGTTCTGCTCCCTGCAGCAGCCACGCAGCGCCGTGCCCTGCACGTGCAGTGGCACAGCCCTGGTGTCCCAGCGCTGCTGTGCCTGCTGCTGAGCAGTGCTGGCACCGCACCAGGGCTCCTCCGAGCCCCAGAGCCAGCAGGGCTGGGGAGGGGACAGCACCAGGCAGCCGACCTAAACCACCAAAGGGATGTCCCATGCCCTGTGGTGTCACACTGGGCAATAAGAGGTGGGACATGGCTGAACGTCGCTCGTTGATGGGAAGTAGAGAGTAATTTCTTTCCTCTCTCTGTGTTTCCACACAGCCTTTGCTTGTTTTTCTTTCCCCTCTTCCTTTTCCCTTTAATTAAACCATCCTTATCTAACCCCTGAGTTGTTTTTTTCTTCCCAGTATACTTTCTTCCCTCCCTTTCCCTTTGAGGAGGGGAAGTGAGGGAGTGGCCGTGGGGGAGCTCGGCTGCCCACCTGAGCAAAACCACCACACGGTGAAATAATGGAGTAATATAATACTAGAATGGGAAGGAGACAGCAGCCAGTGTATTTGCTCATCGATATGGCAAAAAGAGGCTTGATCAGAATCAGACGGGTTTCCCAACTCCAGAGTTAAAAAAGAAAGCAATGCAATAATAACAACCACGTAAACAGATCTACCCGTCTTTCAGCCATGGAATACATTGATAAAAGCTTGTGTATAAAACAAAAATTAAGCACCTAGAAACCCCTAACAGAGAAGTCACGCACACTAAGGATTACAGTACTGAAATACATTGTTTGGACCAGGAACTTGGATCACGATGGAACATTGCTTCCTTGCCAGATCAGATGGAAAGGACAGCCAGCAGCCTCCAGGCACCCCTGCCACATTAACACCACCCGTAACAGAGCAACCCTCCTGGGCCCTGCACGGGAGCAGAACTCTGCGAGAGGACAGCAAAAGGGCTGAGTACGAACCTCATCACTCTCCTCCACGTCCACGTTGCCATTGGCATCGTCGTCCATCTGCTTGTGTATGTTGCGGACAGCCTCGAAGCTGAGCTGCTCGTCCTCATCGTGGCACAAGGGCTTGTCGATCCGGCAGAATTCTGCTGAGGGAGAAAACACCAACGTGATGTAGCCTGTCCCAAAAACCTGCCACCCTGTTTGCTCATTAAACATCTGGTGTTTGGAAAAGCCTTCCCTGAACCCTACCCAGTATCCCAGGGCTCATTCACAGCAGGGTTAAGCGCAACTGCCAGATTTCCCACGAAACTTCTGATGCTAACAAGAAAGGACAGGCCATGGCCTGACTGAGGCTGCTCTTCTCGGGGTCAGGCTCCCCACATCCCCACACCGCCGCTGTGGCACCGGGGCCAGGCACCACCAGCCCCAGTGGCAGGGTGCCCGCAGCAGAGCTCCCCTCCTGCTACCAGCTCCGTGTCTCACGTGGAGGCTGCGAGTGCTGGCACGGCGTTTGAGAGCAGCAGTTGGACGTTTATGCAACGCGCCAATTAAAAAAAAAAAAATTCGCCTTCTTCCTGATTATGAAATAGATTTTTCTGGCTGGTTTTCACATATTTTTCCACGTTTCAAGATTAACACCGCATATTTTGCTACATGCCTGAGTCCGTGTAAGCACCAGGCAAGCTTGGCTCCCCCAGCCCATCTATGGTGCTGCTGCGTGGCGCTGTGTGACTCACGGCACGAGCACAGGCAGCGGGCACCAAAAACATCCGCCAAAGGTGGGGTCCCTAAAGGCAGTGCTAAGAAAAAAGCCTTCTGTTTCACATTGGATTCACTCTAAGTAGATAATGATTACGAATTATCCAGCGGTGACTGCTCGGAGATCAATGGGAAATCAGTTTAATAGCTCTTGGCCCGGCTCCCATTAGAAGCTCTCATGTTCAAAAAATCAGAGCTCAGAGTGAATTCCTCAGAATTTAGGCAGAAGAGCCCAAATGACTTAGAGCTCAAATCTCATTCCAGCTCTGAAGATGATCCTTGCAAGACAAGACAAGCTTATTTGTAGGAAAAGGAACATTTGCTGCTGCTGCTACACATTCTGTACCTATAAACAAACGCTCACTCAGCTTGCTACCAAAGATTTGGACAGTTCTGTCGGTTACATCCTGGTTGTGTCAGGAGCAGTGGGGCCAGCAGGGCCAGGGAGGTGCTCGTCCCCCCGTGCTCTGCTCTGCTGAGGCCGCCCCTCGAGTGCTGGGTTCAGCTTTGGGCCCCTCACTCCCAGAAGGACATCGAGGCCCTGGAGCGTGGCCAGAGAAGGGCTCCAAAGCTGGGGAAGGGCCTGGGACACAAGTCCTGTGAGGAGCGGCTGAGGGACATGGGGGGGTTTGGGGTGGAGAAGAGGAGGCTCAGGGCAGAGCTTATTGCTCTCTGCAACTGCCTGAAAGGAAGGGGTGGGGAGCTGGGGGGCAATGCTCCAGCAACAGGACCAGAGGGAGGGCAGCGCCCGCAGGAGCAGGGAGGGGATCTGGTCCCTCTGCCCCGCGCTGGGAAGCACAGAGCCTCCCATACGGAGGACACCAGCCTAACACCAACTGATAGAATGGAAAAAAAGGAACAAGTGCAGACCGTGCACATTAAGATAGCAAACAGAAGCACACAAACTAATGCAAACACCATTGTTTTGTCTTGGCTTCTCTAGAACTTCCCGTATCTGTGTAAGACCAGGCGATCAAGCCAAGCAAACTGCAGTTGACTCTAAATCAGCCACCGAAGTTTCTAAACTTAGCGCAGGTTCAGCCGTAAGCCTACTCATTCTTAAGTATTTCTAAGAATTCATTAAAACAAACAAACACACACACACACCTGGAAGCAGAATAGCATATGTTACGGCTGTTTTCCTACCGTAACTGTTGATTTTCTGTGTCTTACGTTCCTACAGCAAATACGTGTCTCACCACCAGCTTTATTAGAGGTACACTCCCCCAGTTAGGAGACTGAATAAAGTCCGGTGGTTTTAATTTCGAGGAACATCAGCCAAGGATTCAGAGTTAAAATTAAACTTTCCTTATTTGCAACAGTTTAAATTATGTACTTTATATTCTGCCTAAAACAAAACCGCTCCAGAAAGCACTTAGATGAACGTCAGAGCATTATTCAAATCAGACCAAATTCTTACATTATGGTTGTGACCCCTCATTTCTGATGTCTTTATATACACACATACAAATGTATTTAAGGTCTTAGCTATCGATCTTGTACCAGTGTTTCGAATACTGAATTAATTCGATATGCAAATGCATAATACAACCACATGCCATAGATTTTTTTGCTGGAAAATCCCTTTTCAAAGATGGTCAGCAGACCATCCCCATGGGCTCTCCAGATGGCATCCCTGCAGGCAAACCTCCAGCAGCTGTGGCCACAGGTTCACCATGACCTACACCTCCAGTTACGTGACCTACACCTCCAGTTACGCTTCCAAGCGGCACAACAAATCCTCCCCCAGCAGGCACAGAGCTCCAGGCCCTGGCATCTTGCAGCTATGCCAAGGTGGACCCTGGATAGCATCACAGGCAAGCAGGTATTAGCGAGGGGAGGCACGGGTCTTTGTTACAGAACTGGGAAAACCGATCGCCCTGGAGGGAACACCCGGAGTGTTGGTTGTGCAGCATGTCTTTGTGTGGCATTGAATCCTGAGGTTAATCTGCTGCTGCAAAAGAGCAGCAGCGAGAAGCCAGACTTCAGGCACACACACGAGCCCCAGGTGGTATCGATCCAGTAGATAATACCCCAACAGCAGTCCTCGTTTGGCTTTGTCCCACCGCAACCACCACATTTCCAAGACGGCTATCGGTGCTGCAATTAAACCTCACCAGAGGAAACTCCCAGCTGTGCAAACTTGGCCGACCAGGGATTTACCTCAGCTAACGAGTAGCACCGTGACTAGAAGCTGACTGTGGGGTGCATCCACCGAGGTCCGAACAAAGCCTCCCCACCGAGCTCCACCGTCCTGCTCCACCTCCTCGGCCACAGCCCCTCCACGCAGCCCCCTGACCCCGCTCGGGGGCTGGGAGCTCTCACAGGACGTTTTGAGGACGCCGTGATCGATGGAATGACGTTTTTGCATCAGAACACTTCTGTGAGATACGGGGACTGCCAGGCCTGGAACTGGCAGAATTCGGGCTGGATTTATAGTTTATTAACTAGAAAGGTAAACATTTTTTAGCAGTCTCCTTCTTCTACCTTGTACAGCTGAAAAAAAAAAAAAGGGAGGAGAAAATGTAGAAGAGTTCAGCTTTGGAAAATTCAGCTGCCTTGCTGCAGCTGCCACTTGAAGCCCCTTCTGCCTGATTCCCCAGTGCAAGGATCCCACCACCATCCCAATGGATTTGCGTGGAGCCGTTTTCTCTCTCCAGTCCACATTACCTCACAGACCCACTGCTGTCTGCTCAGCTTTTACTGCTTTATGTAAATAAATAAATAAAAAAAGTCAATAACTTAGTGAATCTGTTCGGCTTTGCCCAAGACAACACCACCCCACACACAAAAGCCCTGGCACGCTGGCCCCTCTGTTCTAACAGAGCAGGTAAGACATCTCGCAGAGGCAATACCGGAGGGGCTGACTCAAGGGCGAGGGGTGGCTTTTGGGTCCTGCACAGACCTCACACGGATCTGGAAGTTTGCTCTGTACCAACTCGACAAGGCCAGGGAGTGAGCCCAGCACCTCTGTGAACTGGGACCAAAAGCAGCGAGTGAGCTGGGACAGCTCTGCCTAGCTCCAGCTCAGCAGCAGTCCTCTCTGCAACAGGGCCATCCTCTCCTCCCCAGGGCCATCCTCTCTGCAACAGGGCCATCCCCTCCTCCCCAGGGCCATCCTCTCCTCCATGGGGCCATCCTTTCCTCCATGGGGGTGTCCTCTCCTCCCTGGGGCTCCGAGCTGGCTGCAGGAAGCAGAAGGAGGTGGTGACCACCTCTGCTCGTGGAGCCTGCAGCCAGCCCTGGGCAAACACCCAGCCCAGCAACACCCTACAACCCAAAGCAGCAGCCAGGGACAACACCATGCTCGGCAGGGTGTGAGAAGTGCCAGTGTAGGTGACTCAATGTGTCCCTGGTGGGGCGCCAGGAGACCTCTGTTCCCCTGCCCCACCTTGGGAGGCGGCACGGGGAGGCAAGGGTGGCCGACCATCCTGCAGGGCTGCACCTCGTTTTCAAAGGCTTCACAGCAACCAGGGTGAAAGGAGTTCTTGACTGGGTACTTTCTGTTGGTCCTAATTGGAAAGGGAGAGGAACTTGGCAGAGTTATGTTAAATATTATTGGATGTCTTTACATGGCTTTGCGCAGATTTGGTTTTCCTCTCCTACCCTGTAAAAATTGCTCCCTCCATGCTTCTTCACAGTTATCACAAAGCTATCTAATATCTTTGGGAGGGGTCTTTTCTGCAGTGATTTGTCAGGTTCATCTCAATGAAAGAGAGCAAGAAAACAGAATGTGATTGTATTCATACTGCCTTTGGGCTTGGCTTCAGCAGGAAAAACGAAATCAGGATAAAAGATACCTCACAAAATATTATGTGATCATCTTGTTCTGAACCTTATTATTATAGCAATTAATGTAGCAACACCATGTCAAAGTTCAATTTATAGGGAATAAAAAGGTCATTTCATTATAAAAAGTGGTTTTATTCATATTAACAGTCTCCCAACCACATAACTCTTAAACCCCACACACGTCTCCAAGTGGTCTGTCCAGCGCTCAGGCAACAAGACACACGCACTGAAGTGATCTTGCCCAGATTTCCTGCAACCACGACGATGATGTGTTGGTATTTGTAGCCCAAACACTAAGAACGAAGCATGACTGGAAATCTTTTTCTGTGCAAGTTCCAGAAAGCAATAAAGCAGCCCTTGCGAGAATGGCATGTGTTGATAACCAAGGAACAATCAACAGCAAGCGGGCTCATAAATACTGAGGAACTTGTTTGCAGCAGGGCCAGAAAGAGCCTAAATAAGCCACGGGTGATTTAATCAGCAGAAGACCCAACACTGATAAAGAATGGTCACGAGGTTTCACCACAGGCCAGGAAGACAAGGTGCAGCTGTAAAAATACCCAAAATGGAGAAACAAAGACCGGGGCGAGCAACC